TCAGACTCCAGAAGTCAGTTGTTGCACATCCATATCTTCCTCTCCTTATTTTGATGTTGTGGCTGTTGTGGCTCTCTGCTGCCAGCTCCTCCTTGGCAGGGAAGCTGACCCATGTGGACAGCCCTGGCACCTCTGGCATGGGGAGAGGATGAGGATACACTGCATGAAGGATGAAGAATTGCCACAATAACCCAGCAGCCATTTGCTCAGCCTGCTGCATGCAGCAGTGGGCCCTCTTCTGTAACTGGGAGAGACAGTGCCAGAGGTGCTGCCTATCCATGACCTACATTACAAGAGAAACCCAGAAGCCTCTTAATGAGCAATGAGCCACTTCTGATCCTGTTTTTTTTGTGGGGTTTTTCTTTGCTGTTTTTCTTATTTTACCCGTTCACTACCGTGGGTCTGTGAGGCAGCTGCTCCCAGCTGTGAGCTGTCGGACAGATGATGCATAGAACTTCTCCTAAAAAGGAAAAGGTGAAACGGTTGGGTCAGAGGTGCCCTAAATTCAGATGGTCAGAGGGCTGGCACACTCAGGTCAGGTCCAAGAGCTTCAGCTCTGTTCTACGCTGCTGGCAGCCAGCCCTCCTGCTTATTTTCCACCTCTGTATCAGGTTGCTCTTTGACCCGCTCCTGGAACTCTGCAAATGATCTCACTTGTTCCTACGCATATAAAGCACTGCAGATCGCAGAGGCGAGGCGAAAGCAAGGAGCTGGTTGAACTCGGTGTCATTTTGTGAGCTCGTAAACAAAGCTGGCCCAGCTGCAGCTCTAAGAGTCAGGCTGCTACAAAGGGTCGGGTCCCACAGCACAGCTGCAAGGAGAAGGGTGCAGAGGAGCCATCTCCCATCACTTCTGTGCCTTACATGTGCTCCTCATAGACTTGGAGATCCTGTGGTGTGCCCCAGTTGGCTGGAGCTGGTGCTGTGATTTGTGACTAAAACAGCACTGGTAAGGCAGCTGCATGCTGGCATCAAGGTCCTCTTACTGTGCTGCCCTCAGGGAAAGGACAGGGAAGAGGGGACTCTTGTTTATGACATTTCTCTTCCCAAGTAACCTCTGCATGTGTTGCATGAGGCCCCAGTTTCCAAGAAGTGGCCGAACATATGCCTTCTATGGAAGCAGTGAATGAACTCCTTGTTGTGTTTTGCTTGTGGATGTGGCTTTCCTTCACTCCCAAAGCATCTGTGCTGTGACCTGTGGGTTCCTTGCTGCTGGTGGGTGCTCAGTTACTAACTGGGGTTGGCTCCCCCACCTACCATGGAGCCTGCTGTCAGCCAAGCTGTCCTCATCAGCAAGATGTCATTCAGTGGGTTATTCACACGTTCCAGTGTTATCAGCCACTGCCATCTCACTGGAATGTGATAAAAGTTGCCCTTTACAAGTGAAAAGGCCCACAATTGCTGTCTCTGCTTCTGAAATGCTGTGTATGACTCAAACCAACACATCCCTCCTCAGTCATTGGGTGACATGCTTCCTAAGAGGCACTGCAAGGAGCTAGCAGGATGCTATGTCTGCCTGGAGGATTGGAGAAACAAATTCCAGTTGGAAAAGCCCTTTAGGAAAGTGGGAAGGGATGCAGTGCATTGAGATCTATTCCAACAGAGGCACCCTGAGCTTGGCCATGGCTTTGGTCACTTCTCAGCACAGCACTCCCTCCCCTCTCCATTTGGCCTAATTTCTTCTTAGGGTAAATGAATGACAGCATCAATTAGTGCCTCCTTTCGTTCTGGTTTTTAGTTCACTGTGATGACCCACAGGTTCAGTGCAGTCACTTTGGTGTCTGGGATCCAGCTGAGGGCTGGCACTTTGTGACAAGCTGACTCCTTCCAAACCATCCAAGCATGCCTTGTCTGGGCCTCAAACAGCCCGAGGAGTTCACCGCATGGCATGCAGGAGCCAGAGGGGCTCAGATCCCTGGCATGAACAGAAAATTGCTCAGAGAACATTGTCCCTCTCTGCATTAGCCGTGTGACGTGCCTTTGTCTACCTGTGTGCTCGTTCCACAAATTCCTTCATTCCACATAAGCAGCTGAAACAGAAAACTAGGACACTGTGTCCTGGTGTGACACGGTGCTGGAGGGAAATAGCAGCAGAGCCCACACGGCGTTTCCATCCTTCTGGTTGCTGCCTGGCTCTGAAGAGGGTCCACAGCCACTTCTGCAGTGCTTGTGATGGGAAAGAGGCCTTTCCAACGGCTCCAATGTGAGCAGCTGTGTTCTCTTAGCATAAAACCCTTCTGTGATTTTCTCCCATCTCCAAAGTTAAGGTGTAGTGCTGCTGCATGTGGTTGAAAATGTGCCGTGCTTCACCCTAGGAGTGATTGCAGCTCTGTGCTTCAGGATGCTTTGGGATGAAGCATCAGCCAGATCTTGTCTTGCTGGAGTACAATTGTTGGAGTCACTGGGTAACTTCTGAGGATAAATACAGCTGGGGAGTGTCAGGACTGAACTATTTTTGTAGTTTGTCTCCAAAGTCATAACAGAAATAAGAGCTGACTTGAATCTGCAGATGGCACGACACAGTGTTAACTGAGACCTGCCATCAAAGGGACCAATCCTGATGCAGTGGCACTGCTGGAGTCGGCAGAGTTCCCAATTCACGCCCTGCACAAACACAGCCTGCTGAGACCTCCACTGTGACACAGCCTGAGCCCCCACTGCCCAGCCTGGCTGCTGCCCACCTGCGGCTCCAGGGAAGCTCCTGCCCCATCCTTCTCCCATTGCTTACAGGGCTGCTTCACTTCCTTTCCAAATGGGGAATTTCCAAATTCCCATATATAGATAGCTCACTCCAAACAAAAGCTTTTATGTAGAGCTGAAGAAAGGCTGTGTTCCAAACCGCCTGTTTGTTCCAGCTGTGATTTGCCTCAGAGGATATTGCATCTATCCCGGCAGCTGCAGCCACCACCAAACTCCCCACGGGCAGAGCTTTGCCATACACTGTGTGTGCAAATCAGACCCTGTGATTTGGAATCAACCCGTGGAACAAGGAAGAGTGGGCAATCAAAACGTAGGGGTTGGTTGTTGGTGATACTTTTCTTCTTCTTCTCCTTTTTTTTTTTTTTTTTAATTACAAGTTTTAACTGCTCCTGAGCTGGATTATCACTTGGGCATGGTAGGAAGGTGATCACAATTCCCCTCGGTGAGTTTTGGTTGAGTTATGACAGATGGAGGCTATAAGCTGAGCCCTGCAGCCCCATTCTGGCCACAGTTACGTGGGATCAAAGTAGGGTGATGCTGCTGGCTCCAGAACACAGAGTGCATCAGCGTGCGCAAGCACCAGCCTTACTGGAAACAAGACCTGTTCTTTACAGTAAAGTTTAAAAATAAAGTTAAATTGTGTGAGATCTAATGATTTTCCAGGCTGCTTTTTCCTGCTTCCTCCTACCCTAGCAGGACTTCTAAGGAAATAAAGGTTGAAATCTCTCCAGGCTGCAGGGTGTGAGACTGAATGGCATCGACATTGAAAAACTGACAAACAAAAAAGGAAATTATGAGCAACTCTTCTATGGGAAGTGTTCTTGGGAAGTGAGTAATGCAAGGAAATCATCTCCACATCCTCACCAACTCGAGGGGTTCTGAGTCCATGAGCATCAGCAATCAAGCTGTATGTGGATCAGCATAATGGATCTATGTGGATTTGAGAATTAGAGAGGCAGCTGATAGCACAAAGTGCCCAGAGGTTCCGTGAGCCTTGGTGATGGTAGGATCCAGACCAGACAGCTGGAGAAGCTGAGGCACTTTGGGAGCACTGCTCTTGGTATGACTTGCTTTGTGCAATCTTTCCCTGAAAGGCTGATCCTCAAAAGAGGCCACAACCAGACAGCTCTTGTGCTGGAGCACCTCTGCAGCACCCGGCCCTGCTAACCACAAGGTGTTCTAGCAGAGGAACTGCTGGGCTGATATTTATTTTTAATGAAGGAAGTCATGCCCTCCAAAATGACTTGGACAAACATGACAAGTGTACTTTCATGCCCTTGTGAAGCCCCAACTGGAGCACTGCACCCCAGATGGATGCCCAGAGCAGCGTGTGTGCCCCATCCCTGGAGGTGCCTGAGGCCAGGCTGGATGGGCTCTGTGCTGCCTATTCCAATGGGTGGCAATCCTGCCCACAGCAGGGAATGGGAAAGGAATGGGTTTTAAGGTCCCTTCCAACTCACATCCTATGATCCCACAGGTCACATGGTGGAGGATGAGAGTAGGGGTATCAAATTCTTCTGTGTTCCTGGGATGAAGCTTATTCTAGCCCGCATGAATCAGTGGGTGAGGCTGAGTCATTCCCCTAAGTTCACGACACATGGCTATGGGGTATCATACAACCTGATACTACAACGTTCCTTCTTGGTGCAGCTGGGTACCAAACCCAGCCCGTCTGTCTGAGGTGGGGCTGGGAGGAGAAGCACAAACAAGTGCCCATGACGTTTAACTAGCTGGCTGGCTCCAGGGCTTCCCGGTTGGATCTGATTTCTTGGGCCTGTCCTGACTTTCCATTTGCTTGATGAGTTTGGATATGATTTTTTCCAGCCTGCACAGCTCCTTGGCTCATAATTCCTGTTCGTTTCTTTATAGTTCCCAGGAGAGACAAAATCAAATTGGGGGAAATATGGCTCACCGGTTTCAGAAATCTCGCTGGCTTCTAAACTTTCCTCCTCTGCTACTTTTCATCCTGTCTGGTTGGTCACTCCCCCTGTCAAAGGAGATGACATTGATGAGTCTCTTCATAATCGAGTGTAATTTTCCAGCTTTTCTCTGCTTGTAATGTCTTGGATCTGTCCAGAAGCAGCATATGCAATATGTTTTTTCCACTGATGGCTGTATGGCTTAGCTGAACGCTGTATTTTGCTTTATTGCCTTGAAAACTGCTATCCCCTGTGGGGTGGGAATAATTCAAGAGAGGAGCAGCTCAGGGCTCCATGCAGCAGTAATCCCCAAGGGCTGCAGCTGAGATGAGGATGTCGTGTTAAACCACAAACTCCCTGCTCCCAAACAGATCTGCATAACCGAGATGAACAGAAAGTGAGGACAAAAGAAGAGGGGAATATTGTCATCTCCACCTGCTGAGCAGAAGCCAAAGGCAGAGACATGGGTGGCAGGGCAGAAGAGAGGAGGGAAATGGGGTTTGCTCAGGGATTTTGTTGATTGGCAAGAAACCCCTCCATCTAGGAGGAATACAGAGAGGCTGTGTACCCATGAGGGAAAAACCTGGTGAAGTTTTATTCGGCACATGCCCTCAGCCAAGCTCTTCAGCCCCTCCATCCAGCAAGACGTTTGTCATGGGCTTATCTTTAGCCCCCTTTGACTCACAGCCTGAAGCTGAGGCCAGAGGGAGGTGGGCAGGGGGCTGTGCAGGAGCAGCCCTGCATGGGGCAGAGCTGGAGCCGTGCAGGCAGCGCTAGGACCTTAGGAGTGCTCCACAGCCTCCTCCCAAAGGATTAGCTAATATTCCCAGGGCAGGGCGCGCTCCCCATCTACTTTTTCTTTCCTCTCTATACGTGTGTTTTCCCTTCTTCTAGTTCATTCCAGAGCAGAGAGAGCTTTGGATTTCACTGAGCTTCTCTCTCTCTCTCTTTTTTTTTTTTTTTTCACTCACAGCTGGACTGCTGCCAGTGTCTCGCAGGGCCGGCGTTTCATCTATCGGGACAGATTTTTCACCCCAGCCCAGCTGCACGCCCGCTGCCTGCAAGCAAACACCAGCAGCAAGCAGAGCTCTGGAGGGCAACACACCCCATCCCCAGCCAAGGAGGACGTGGAGAGGAAGGAAAATTGCCTCCAGCATTCAGAGATTGTACCAGCGCAGCGAAAGAAAGAACTGTCGGATCTCAAGGCATGAGCAGCATACAAGCTGCCCTGGGCTCTGCTGGATCCCTGCACATAATATGACTGATGCTGAGCTTTTCGTCTGCCTTCACAGAGCCGAGCTTTTGGATTTAAGGTAGTTTGCCCAGGACTGGACTTTGCTATGCTGGCCGAGGCAGCTCTTGTGCTCGGTGTGTGGCTGCAGCTCGCTGCGGGGCAGGAGGCACCTGGCCAAGGTGAGTGCTGTGGGTTCCCCACCGTGCTGGGACAGGAGCTGAGCTGAAGTCACACTGCTGCCATAGCTCTGCCGTTCCCCTGGGGTGTTACTCTGCTGGCGGAAGGGCAAAATGAAGGAAAATGTTTCTAAAATTGCTATATTAGAAAGAAAACTTATCTCCTTTGGAAAAGAAGCTGGCAGAGTTTTGTGCAGTAAGAGGGAGAGTCCCGACTACTCACTGCACTGGGCACCCTGGTTAAGAGAAGTGAAAGCAGTGATTGATACTGTACCTGTCCTGTTGTCCTCTGCCTAACCTCTGTAATTCAGTCCTGACGTTTTCTCCTTACAATACTTTCTCTTGGCTGCTGCTCAGGGAGAATGCCTGCAGTGTGGTGTCACGGAGCCGACAGCGGGAAGGGGGACACGGAGGGGATGAGTGTCTCTCTCTGATTAGCTGGGCAAGGACTGCTGATATGGTTACTGGGGGGATCCTGGGGCTCAGTAAAAGAAGGAACAGCTCTGGGACTGCTGCTGGCTGCAGCTGGTTTTCCCTGGAGTTTGAACCTGAGAAGTGTGAAAGGGGACATGAAGTTCTGTTGTGCCTGGACAGGATAATTCTGCTCCTAGCGGGCAGAGCAGACAGTGACTGTTGCTCAGATTCCATTACAGGGAATGGATTTTGCCTACCAGTGACCCAAGCTGTGAAGCAGGGTCTGGAGATGCAGGCTGGCTCAGGAATTGTGCGGCTGTCCCTGCCCATGCCATGCTCCAGAGAAAGTTATGCTGTTACACTACTGACAGCTTACTTTAGGCTTGCAAACTGCAAACTAGACGAAGAGAAGCTGCTGGTGGGCAGCATGCCTGCTTCCCGGCAGCTTTTATGTGGGCACCTCCGGCCACTCCCAAAAGCAACCTTAAGCAAACAGCCAGCCTGGCAGGGCTGAGCCATTGTGGTGTGCCATCACCATGCAGTGAGGGGAAGCGATTGAGCCATGAGGATGCGTGGTCATAATTCTGCTTCCTGGGGTCTTGGCTGGATATGAGTGGAGGCAGCTTCATTAACTTCAGGGGACAAAGATGGGGAGCTGCTGGGCAGACAGTGGGGCTGAATGGAAAGCCCCAGGAAAGGTGCAGACAATACTGCTCACCCTCCACACTCAGCTCCACTTCCAGCAGAAAAATTTTCCTTGCGTGACCAAAGAGCACAAGGGAAGACAAATGCAGAATTATGGCATAGTTAACCGAGACAGGACACAATCTTTTCTGGCTGTGGAACCCTTTTTGCTCTAGGAGCACTGAGTCCCATGTAAATGAGGCACGTGGCACGTGTTCAAGTCCCAGCTGAGGGGAGCTCTTGGAGCGGATGTCTCCTGTCAGCATCTCAGAGCAGGACGCACACGCCTGGCTGTTTTCCTCTTGGAAAAGCCAAGTGTGTAAATAAGCAGCGCTGGGACTCCATGGTGACATTTTGCTTTCAACTGATCCCTTCTAAACCCTTCTTTGCACGACTGATCCATGCCTATCGACAAGGACCAGCCTGAGGGTGACAACAGGATGCTGCCAACACTTGTTCCCTGGACTCCGGCTGTGCTCAGGGCTGATGGTGCAAGAGATTTTGGGGACGTCCCTTCTTCCAGAGCCCCACAAAAGTGAGAAATCTCTGCTTGGCGTCTGGCCAAGCAGCCGATCCTTTCTTGCTGTAAAGGGAGAAAACAGTTCGAAAACAGCAGCTGCTTGCATAAGGCAGGGATTTGCTGGTAACAAATCCCCAAAGCCCCACCTCTGGCATGGGGGAGATGTTTGTGTTGAATGGAGGACAAGGCACAGCAAGAAAGATGAAGGAACAGAAAGCTTGAAGGGAAGGATGGTGGTATGCCCAGCCATTATCAGCATCGCTGCAGTGAGGATGTTTTTGTGAATCCTCTGTAGCAGAAAAGTCTCACAGAGAGGACTTTACTTCCATCTTACAAAGGGCTGAGTGGTGGAACTGAATTATGACGGATCACAACCCCTTCAGATAGCTCTGAAATACCAAACTGCCCACCAGCACAACTTGCTGTTGGTGACCATTGGCTGCTGGGCTGTTTGTTCTGCCCCCCAGGCAGGACGTGGTGGTGTCAAACTGCAGCCCTTCCTGCAGTGCTTCCTAACCCACGCAGCTATTCCCAGCAGTGATGGGTGAAACCCATGTCCGCAGGATGCTGACGTTCCGCCCGCCTCGCTGTGCCCACAGCTGCAGGGCACACTCCAGCACCATTACAAGGGTTTGGCTCTTGTCTCTCCATCAGCATCCTTCTCCCTTAGCAGGTATCCATGCGGCTTGCCACCCTGTTTCCCTGGGGAACTCATTTTGGCAGGACAGGAGTTTGCTGTCTGCTCCCCAGGGATGCACTTCCAAGTTCCTCCATGCGTGATCTCGTTTGCCACGGGGGAGCAACGTCCTTTGCCAGCACCAGAAGCTTTCACAGCTGCTTGTTGCAACACTCAGGAAACAAACACTGCCACTCAAAATAATGGGGAACAGAGAGGAGAAATTAAAATAGATGATTCTTTGCTGGGAAGAGGCCACTGTGTTGCCAAGATCCCTCACTACAGCTTGGCAGCCAAGTCGGTGGCTTTATGCCCTTCCAATGGAGGGGAGAGCAAGAGGCTGCAGCTCCGGGAGCTCACAGCAGAACTGGTGTTGCATGCTTTGGTGAAGCAGCAGCTTGAGGGATCTGGAGGTGATGGGTTTGGCTGTGCTGTGTGACGTGCTGATGGAGCTGCACGTCGCCGTGGGCAAGCAGAAAGCTGGCCAGGCTGTGCTTGTGTTTTCTGCTCAGCTCTGAGTGCCAGGCTGCTGGGTGTGTGTGTCTACACAGGGCTGAGTCGTGCTGGGTCACGCAGAGCTGGACGTGAGCTGCTCCTGCCTCCTCCTGGCATCTCTGGCTTAGTCACCTCTGAGCAACATCGTCCTCTGTTTCTCCAGTTGTTTCGTCATGGGTCTGGTATGGCTCTGTGCTCTCAGCCAGCACGTAATGCAGCAGGGAGGTGAAGGGCCTGGCCCTGGGTGGCTCCGCTCCCTGTAGCAGCACAGAAGCTCACTGCAGCGTGTTTTTCACACGTGGACACCAATGTTCCTGCCATGGGACAGAGCCAGCACTCAAGTTACCATTGCACATCTGATCCGTGCCAGGTGCCACTCTGGGGATGCACACACAGTGCCTTGCACCCCCTGATTCATCTCCTGCCCTGGGTTTGCTATTCGTGTCTTCAACTGTGAGCAGTCCCCAGGAGGGGCTCAGTGACCCCGCTCCTCCCATTTGCCTCGGGGCCTGCCTTGGCGTGCCTTCTGCAGGGGCAGAGCTCTTTGCAGGAGCCATCTCCTCCAAGCAATTAATTTTGCAGAGGCCTTTCCATTCAGCTGTCTGCTGCCTTGTGGTTTTGTCTCCCACACGTGGCTCCAGCACTCAGCCATTGTGTGCTGCACTGAGCCCATCAGTGCCCCAGGTCCCGCATCGCTTGGCAACCCTGCGTTCCCCATTCCTTCCCTGATGAAGCAGCCCAAGCAGGCTGGCACCAACCTCTGCTCTGTGGTTTTTTCTCCCTTTTTACACCTCAAAAGCTGCCAGAAAGCAGAATGGTGGCTAAAAAGATTCCAAATCCATGTTCCCAGCACCAGGAACATGTCCTCCTTCATCTGAGAGAAGAAAAATGCCCAGGAGCAGCCTGGTGCTGACTAACAAGAGGTGACAGTGCAAACTGAGGCAGCTCCAAGGCATTTTCTCAGCAGCATCAGCAGAAGGACCCAGGGCACGTGGGTTTGCTTTTGGTGCTACTCTGACTCCTGATCCTGAACTTGAAATAGGACTGTAAAACAATTTCATTTGTAGGCAGGGGAATGCCACTCCCTGGAAAGTCCAACCTGATGCAGGTTTTTGGGTCTCAAAGGGTTTAGGATCCAGTTTTTGTTCCCAATAGTTTGTTGTTGTTGTATATGTTGGTAGTGAACAGCCTTGGGCATACCCTAACTTATGTGCATCTCAGAGGGTTCAGCAAAGCCCAGCTGTGATCAGACAGGACCCAAACAAAGCCATTGAACACAGGGTGATGGCATGAGAAGTTTCCAGGCTGCTGCTAGCAGGGCTGAGTATAAAGCCCAGCAGCCCTCTCTCTGTAAGTAACAGCAATAAAAAGCCTGCCTCCTGAAGTCTCTCCCCAGCAAACTTCCCACCGCATTCTGAGATCTGGCCCAAGATAACCAAATCTTCCCAATTGCTACACCATTTCTCTAACCATCCTTCTCTCTTCCCCTGTTAGGTCCTCAGCCCTCTATTTCCAATTCAGAGGGAGACATCCTCTTCTTACTGGACAGCTCTGGCAGCGTCTCCTACTATGAATTCTCCAAGGTCAAGGAATTCATGTGGGACCTCGTGCGGCCTTTCACCTTTGGCCCCAACGATGTCCAGACCAGCATCATCCACATCAGCACAACTCCCACCATGGAGTTCCCCTTTGACCGGTACCTGTCCCGTGGGACGGTGCAGCAAGCCATCCGGGACACCCGACAGCTCATGGGTGACACCAACACAGGCAAAGCGCTCTCCTTTGCCAAGGAGAAGCTCTTCAGCAATGACGCCGGTGCCCGGCCAGATGTGCCCAAGGTTCTGGTTTGGGTGACGGATGGGTTCTCTAGTGATGACATCTCTGAGCCCATGCAGCTCCTGAAGGACATGGGAGTGACAGTCTTCATTGTCAGCACTGGGAGGGGGAATTACCTAGAGCTGTCTGCTGCTGCCAGCCAGCCTCCTGAGAAGCACCTGCACTTTGTGGACGTGGATGACCTCCCCATCATCACCAAGGAGCTGCGAGATGCTATGCTAGGTATGCTGGGGCTGGGCTGCGGTCTCTGGGAGCTTGCAGCAGGACAAGCTTGAAAATCCCCTAAAACCAGCAGATCTCCTGATTCACAGGAGCATGCTAACAAACTGCACATATGAAAGCTGTGTGCCTGGGTAAGCTTTGGCTCCTAAGCTCTGCCTGCACACTTTTGTGGCTCAGGCAGGGTGCTGGCACCCATCCCCTGCCTACAAGTAGCTGGCAGTCAGTGCTTTCTTACCACGAGCAATTAGCGATGATGGTTGTTGCTCTCAGAATTAAGACTGAAGCACAGGAATGTTTTTGTTCCATAAATCCCTTGTTGTAACGTGTTCTGCATCTGCCAGATCTACAGAGCAGCTTGGCCAGTGCAGCCCTTGGAAGAAATTCCCAGCCCAGTTTGTTGGGCTCGGCAAGGCAGCTGCTGGCACGTCTGTGACTGCACAGACAGCAAGAACAGGCAGAGAGCTGATTTCTAACAGCCCGGTGTTTTAAAGCCAAAGCCAGAATGTGGGACAAGGGATGAGTGTTGGGAAACCAGCACCAGGAATGCTGCATGCTGAGCTGCACAGTGTATGTCCTCTGTGCCACTGCAGCATGAGCATCCGTGATCACAAAGCAGGGGTTCTGCCTCAGTCTTTGGATCTGTTTGGAAAGCTGAGCAAGCAACTGGGACTTTGCAGACTTTCCTTTTATTTTCTGGAGGCTTTGTCCCCGCTGGAAGCCCTGTTTTCATTCCCCACTTGGTTTCTGCTGTGTGAGTCAGACAGAGCTGGCTGTGGTGTGTCCAAGTAACCCCTTAGTGCAGAATCCTCTCTGTGTAGCAGTTTCTTCCTATTTTCAGCCACTGCCATTTAGCAAATCACACCCAGGGACCACGTTCTCTTCTCTGTCCTATCTGAGTATGGGACCTTCTGCTCTTACAGGTGCCATGCAAACCCCAAATATTTCCTTTCAAGTGGCTGTTTCAGTTTCTAGTGCTCCTGAATCCACATAGTATAAAATAGCATCATGAAAAAAGGATGTATCAGTGCTGCACAAGCAATGAGCTACTTTGGTTCCTTTCACCCAACACCCTCACTTAGCACTGACCACGAGCAAGTGTCCAGGAAAATGATCCCAAACCTTGAATGTCCATTCTGGTGATGGAGAAGCACGTTTCTCTTCCCAGAATTGAAAACACTGCCCCATCCATGTCAAAGCAAGGAAGTAAAGCCATGAAGCGGAGGTGCTTTGTCCCAAGCATCCATCTGCATCTCCTGCAGAATAGATTATGGATCCAGGGCAGAAGGGGTTCATCTGCTGCCTGACTGCATTTCTTGTGCACATCATAAAAGCAGCAGCACTCCTGCAAGTCTAATCTTGACCTTGCCAGCATTCACGGGATGCCAACAAGCTCGCTGCTGTGAAATGGTGCTTCTGTGTCCACCCTCATCCTGTGTGAGTCACCCGCAGGCAGGAGGCAAGTGTGTCTGAGCTGTGTCCCAGTGCTCCCAGGAGGGCACTGCCTGGTCCAGCGCCAGAGGTTACACATTGATTCTCCCTGCCAGCATGGAGGGACTGAGAAGGAAATCAATGAGCATCTACTTTCTGGGATTTATCTCCTTCAATGGTCAAGGCAGTTGTCATGTGGCAGCAGAAGTGCTTGGGCGTGCCGTAGCTCATCCCTCGGGTGCTGCATCCCATCACTTCAATCTTCCCGATTTATTTGCAGCATCCCCATGCCCTGCAGCCAAGCTCATTCATTTCTGTTCCCTGAGCTTTTGGCAGAGTTTTTGGCACCAGGACCTTTCCTCTGTTCCTGGCTCTGTGCTCCAGCTGTGGGGCTCAGAGGAGGCTGCAGAGTCCCATATCCATGCTGCTGGGAGAGAGCAGTGTTCCTGCCCACCCCACAGCCAAGCAACAGCTCAGAGAAAAAAAAAAAATGCAGGTATAGCAGAGCTTCTTTCTTTCTCTAGATGCCACTAATTAGAAGCAAAGTTGCCAGGTGCCTTTCATTTTTGAAGCTTTGTGCATGGCTTTGAGAATTTGGGTTTGTACTCCTGAATTTTTGGCTCACTGAATTGTTATCCAGGAGCTCAGCTGCACCTCGGTGACTTCAGCTGTCACCCAGTGTCCCCAGAGGTCACATCTCCCATCCAGAGGGCCTGCATTTCTGGCATTCCATGTCCTGTGTACAACTGCCATCACTGATTTCTTGCTCCTGCCTCTCTCTCAGATGTTATCCAAGCAAATCGGCTCCGTGTGGTGGATATCACATCAAGTAGCTTCCGTCTGACGTGGCCCCAACTCCTCTCCCAAGAAACTGGTTACTACACCCTCCAGTATGCCCCAACAGATGACCTGGCAGCCAAGAGGACAACGCAGGTGTCTGGGGCTCACACCAGCCTCACACTGAGCAATCTTGCTCCAGAAACTACATATGAGGTGGCACTTGTTCCTGAATCCAACATCCACTACTTCCCTCCCCAGACAATAAGGGTTACCACCCTGGCAGGTAAAGTGTGAACAACCCTGATGAAAGGAAAGTTCTGCCATGCTGAGCCTCCCAGATAGAGAGGAAGACAGGACAGTCTGTGATCTGCATGCTGCCTGGTCTGTTGGGGGGAGGGAGGCAGTTGCAGTCAAGCCAGAACAGAGCAAGGAGAAGGCATCTTTTTGCTGACACTCCGCAGGCAGATCTTCTCCTAGAAAGAAGTTCTGCACTGCCTGGTACAGGGCCATAAGATGCCCTTCCAACATTAAAATCCTTGGATATGCTAGAAAGCAGAGCTCTGGGGAAAGGCAGGAGCTGTAGGTGCAGCTAGAGAAGGGCACGTGCTTCTCCAGGCAGGGGTGCACACCAATAGAGCATCCCTTTGTGAGGAGAGGGGTTGGGGCAGCACTTGAGCTCAGCCAACCTTTCTAAATCTTCCACCTCCTGGAAGCCAGGTCCACTGTGCTCCTCCAGGAGCATCCTGGTACCATGAATTGCATGCTCATTCCTATCTTTTTATGCTTCTTTCAGAGGAAATCAGTCCAGCTCAGATTCTCATCTCGGACTCCAGGCCGCACAGCTTCCAGGTCAGCTGGGCTCCTACACCAGACAGTGTGACCAGTTACCAGGTCCTGTATGGGCCACTTCGTGGGAACTCAGCACAGCTGCTGGAGGTGGATGGCACCCACAACAGCACTGTTGTGGAGAACCTGGCACCCAACACCACCTATCTGGTGACAGTGACTGCGATCTACAGTTCAGGAATGGAGAAATCATTGTCAGCCAAAGCATGCACTCAGGAAGGTGAGCGTGCAGCACTGCGCTGATAGGGAATGGTGTGGGCACAGATCTGCCTTTGGGTGAGGCCTGATAACTCAGTCTGGTTCCTGGGGTTGGATGAGAGGAGGAGAAATGCAGCTTCTGATAAGCAGCACATGATATGCTATTAGGGTATTGCATATGCATAAGGCCTAGGGCTAAAGGTAATAGCCTCAAGTTGCACCACGGGAGGGGCAGATTGGATGTTAGGAAATGCTGGGGAGTCACCATCCCTGGGTGTGCTCAAGAACCATAGAGATGTAGCAGTGAAGGATATGGTCAGTGGGCATAGTGGGGTGGGTTGGGCTTGGAGATCTTAGAGGTCTTTCCCAACCTTAATTGGTTCTGTAATTCTATGACTGAAAGCAAATCATCCGCACATTGTATGACCACTTTTAGGGTCTGTATATGGCTGAGCTGCTTCTGAAGCCACAACTGCTTCATACAAAGGCCCACAGTTACAATGATCTTCTCCTTTCTCTAGAGGGCTCCAAAGTGAGGCACCTTCGCTTTGAAGACATGGGCTCCAACACCCTGAAGGCTTCATGGGATGCTGCAGATGGGAAGGTCCTCGGTTACCGAGTCAGGTGCCGGCGGCAAACCGGTCCTTCATCACTCATCAGTGTGTCACCACAAATCCACAGCGTGCTCCTCACAGACATGGCCCCAGGCACCACAAACAAAGTGTGTGTCAAGTCCATGTACAAGCATCAGCCAGGCAAGGGGCTGTGCCGCATGGTGCGCATGCAGCCAGGTGAGTCGGGGCACAAGGGAAGTCCCTGGGCCTAAAGGGAACATGGGTGCTGGAGATCCAGCAGAGCTGTGCTGAAATACTGTGCTCATCAGCCAGCTTGTCAACAGGGCTTCATCACAGCTATTATCCTATTGCCCTAAGCTTGGCTCTTCTCCTTTTTTTCTTCCCTTTTTTAAGAGCAGTACTCCTCCTAGTGGTTACATGCAGGAGGAAAAGCATGCAGGGATTTTGGTGGTGACTTGGGATGACAAAGGAGGGGAGGAGGCTGATGAAAGCTGGCTTTCAACAAGGGAGAGACAAGCTAACTACTGAACAAAGCTACGAAAGCAATGACATCTGCTTTCCTCCTTGCACTACCCAGAAACCACTCACTATAATGAAACACAAAGGGATTCTCAATAGGCTGAAATAAGAGATAAGAAGCAGCTGTGTGGCAGAGCAGAAGCACAGCCTTCTTCCCGCTAAGAGGCCAAAGCGATGACGATGATGACCATAGAGTCACCAGATCTATGACTCAGTCTGATTTGGAGAACGGGTAAACAAAGCTGACATAATGCTTTTTGTGTTCTTCCCAGCTACAGAAGCCCCAGGGTACAAGCACAGACAGAGGGCATGACAGACCTGAGCGTGAACTGATCCCCCAAGAGCAGGAGATCTTGCTTGGAACAAAGGTTTGGATGAAACGGAGGGACCTACAGAGGAAATCAGAAAGCTCACAGACCATCTCCCAGCCTGCACTGTCTGTTGAGCTGTCCTGGTTGCAAAGCCTGAGGGCCACACTCAGTCAAGTTCTTTGCAAAGCTTGAAGATGGGGTTCAGCTGGACGGAGCTGACAATCCCACTGCTAGATGCCAAATCTGTACCCTCTCTTGTATAAACATGCCTGACAAACAACAAACAAAAGGCAACCCGATGAATCCTCACTATTGCTTGCTTATTTCCTGTACTCTATTTATTAAATGTTGATACAGTTGTATTTTTGCAGCCTGTGAGCATGTTCAGGATGGAGCTGTTTACTGCACTGGCCTTTTGTTCTGGGCACTGCACTCAGAGAAAGATTGCAAGCTGTCAACAGCCACTGACACTGACAAACAGCTTACCTTCAACTCATCCAGTGTATTTAATATATGTTTCAAAGTAGGCATCCCCAAAGTATACCATCTCAGGGATGGAAGGTGAAAGCAGTAGGAGAAAGAATAACAAGTACAGAGAACATACAGTACACAGAGAAAACCTGGTCAAAGGCTCTAGGACTTCTGAAGAGAAGAAAAGAGGTTATACCCATTTGGGCTTTGGCCAGGATATGGAGACATGTTGTAAAAGACATTTTGCTTTCTATGCAGTAAATGAATAATCTAGTTTCCTTGGGGGGAGGGGTAATTATGGCAAACTTGGTTGGTGAACTCTGAGGAATGGAACAAGAAAGCAGCACCAGCCCAGGGCACTGTTGCTGGGTGCACTATGAGAAGTTTGTTCATGTTTGCCTGCTGAATTCCTGAGTTTTATCAACACTGGTAATGGTGTTAAATTAATCTGCTGCAGTGACACAGAGATCCCAGATGGACTCTGAAAGATTCAGCTCCCCCAAGTCATTTGCTTTGGGATTTAAAAGCAGTCTGAGAGAGCAGAAAGCTCAGAACTTTGCTTCCCCAGCAGGTTACACTATTCACAGCCCTCAGCTGAGCCCAAGGAGCAGCAACAAGACAAGAAAGGCCAGACTTCGTGGCCATACAAAGCACTTATTTTGGTCTCTCATTCAAATGCATACCTTCAAACAACAGCACAGTGCTACCTGGATCGTGACCACCAAATGACTGTGGCATACCTGCAATCAGTTGCAGCAAATCAGATATGCGTCCTACAGCAGCTATATTGAGATTAATTAGCATGTTCTATGGCTAACTGGGGGACATCAGACTTCAGCACCATCATTCCTGGCTCTGTCCTTTGCACTCTTACAATATTTTAAATTTCTTGTCCTGAGCTCCTATCCCATGCTAAGCTTTAGCTCATTTTAAGAACTATTATTTTTTCCAGGAGATGAATAAATCTGGTTCTTCCCCTCTGGCCCCACGCTTGAATTGGCTGTCACTATGCTACTCTTCAGAAAGGGGAGTTGAAAAATAAATAAGACAATTCTAGCAGCTAGTGGCAAAGCCACATGAGAAGCCCAGTTCCAAAATTTGGGACTTAAAACTATAAAGAAACGCAACTACATCTCTGGTAACTGAAACCAGCATCAGTGGGAACACCTCGCCTCACTAATGCTTGCTCTATTTTAAATATGTTGCTTGTTTGTTCTGTACATTTTCTTAAAGCTGTGCTTGGAGAGCCTCCATACACTGACAGTCCATCCCACAAACCCTCCATAGTTCTGCTTATGGACTCCTTCAAACAATCCCCTCTGGAGCTGAGAGGAACTTTGACTGGAGTGCTGAGCGTGGAACTCAACCTGCGCTTGTGGGACATTTGCCTTGGGCTCCTCACACAGGAGGAAGGAATGGCAGGGAGGTGAGTCATTCATTAACTCGATAAGAAGATTCCGTATGATTTGTGTTCTCCTATGGAATGTGTACGTGTGACTGATTAATCTTAATGGAGACTCTGTGCTGAAGGGAAGATAAAGCCTCTGGAATCTCTCACGCAATAAAGTATCTTGTTCATTCTTGCTGTAGGACAGAGACTGTTTAGTACAACTCCCTGCATAGCTTACTACTGCACTAAGACCTCCTCCCCCCCAGATATAATGCACCCTTTTGAAGACAGTCAATTAAAAATACAATACAAGAGCTATTGAATGACTCCTTTGTTCTTGGTGGCAGTAAGGACAAATCGGTTCAGTGGAATGAGAAGCATAGGTAGAGAAGCTGAAATTCATCTCGATTTTAAGTGGTTAAAAATAAGCATTCTTCCCATGCCTTCACAGTCTGGTTCATACTCCCAACCTTGCAAAAATCAAATATATAGCCAGAAAGACATCAGCCTCAATAACAGCCCCTTGCCTCACTTTTTCCTCTTCCCCCCTTTAACTCCTTTGAGTTCTTCCACACTACAAACAGTGAGATTAGGGACAGCTTTTGCAAAGTGAAGCATGCCTCTGTACCGGCCACAAACACACGAGTTCCTCCTCCAGCTCCTCAGCAGCAGCGCTTGGAGGACACAGGGCTGCCTCCAGCAGCAAACCCAAAAGGCACAGCAAACCCAGAAGGCTGTACCAAGCAGACTCGAGGTAATGTCCTCTGGTCGCACCAGCAAAGGGTCAGTCGGACATTAGGAAACATATTCTCAGATAGAGCAGTGTGGAGGTGGGCACTGAGGGGTGTGGGCAGTGGGCACGGTGGTGTGGGTTGGACCCGTGGATCTACTTGATCTTTTCCCATCTCGATGATTCTGTGATTATCTCGAGGCTGGTTTTAGGTCTCTTTTTCTTATCGAGTCTAATTTTTTTTTCCAGAAACTTTCACAGCGCCGTTACACCCCGCTCCGCTCCCGGCCGCCATTTTGGGCCCGCTCCCTTAGCAACGCAACAACACTTCCGTTGCTATGGCAGAACGCATCTCAATAAAATTTGTCCCTCCCCGCTGCCCGTCCCGGCCTCCCTTACTCTCACCCTTCCGGCTTAACGCTGATTGGTGTTCGACGCTTGACGTCACCCTGGCGCCTGCGCCCGGCCCAATCGGAGGCGGCGCGCGTGGCTCAGCGCGGCGTGGGTCCCGCGGTGCAGCCGGCGGCGGGGCGGCGCCATGTCCTGGCTTTTCGGCATCAACCGCGGCTCGACCCCGGCGGGCGGCGGCGACGCGGGGCAGGGCGGAACCGGGTTGACCCTGCCGCCGGGTCCGGGTGGTGGCGGCGGGCCGGCGGGCGGCGGAGGGGCGGGGGATCGCAGCACGCCCAAGGACAAATGGAGCAACTTCGACCCCACGGGCCTGGAGCGGGCGGCCAAGGCGGCGAGGGAGCTGGACGCGTCCCGTGCGTGAAGGATCGGGGCCGGGAGCGTCAGGCGGGGCTCGATGTCCCGAGGCTGCAGCCATTGGGGCGCGGGGGGAGCGGAAGGATGGGCACCGAGGGTTCAGCTCCAGCGGGTGGGTTCGTGCCGGAGGGAATCGCTCCGTGATGTTAACGGCCCCTTCCCTCTGTCCGTCGCAGGCCACGCAAAGGATGCACTCAGCCTGGCCCAGATGCAAGAGCAGACCCTGCAGCTGGAGCAGCAAGCCAAGCTGAAGGTACATCAGGGCGTGTGGCACTGCTGAGCAGGCAGCCCAGTGCCAGCAGCTGCCAGGGCTGTGAATTGTAGCCACGTTCCCCAGCAGTCTGCCCTGGGTGCTGTGTTCTGTCAGCTGTCATTTAACTTTAGCAAGAGGTCGATACTTGCCTCTGAAAAAGAAGTACGTAGGTTACCCTGAAGGTAATGCCTCCTGTTTATTTCCATGGAGACTACAAGAGATACAAAGATCACGATAGCACCATTTGATGGAGCAGGTTCTTAGCTACAAAGCACTAGTTCTCATCATAGCCACCACTGTTACAATCAGAAAGATTAACACGGTGGAAAGGCAATGCAGGAGTGAAATAGCAAAAAGGACTAACACAGATGGGATGGTGTTATAAAAAGAAAGTGCTCACCCACCTCTGAAGACCTAGGCTTGCAAGGAAACTCCCCAAGAGAGGGTTCTCCAACCAGAGATCCTTCCCCCATGGCAGTCAGCCCTTAAATGAGGTTTCAGAGAGGTGCAGCCAGGCTCCACCCCTTCTGATCACACAGCTGAATTGCCTTCACCTGTCCTCCCAGGGCTGACAGACTTCTTTCCCCAGGTGCTCAATCAATGGCTCATGCCCCGACTCAACAGTTCCCATACAACCCCCATTAGCTGTGTGTTTTCACCAGGAACAAACAAGAGCTTGCATGCTGTGCTCATCAAAATCTGCACCACTGGTGGTGACCCACTGTCACCACTGCTGAAACGAACCACCTCACTGTGCTCACATCCACTGGTTGGTCACCAGGTGTCAGTGAATGTCATTTGTTCCTCCTGGAGAAATTCAGTGTCACACTGTTGCTTCATACACACTTCCATGTCAGGCTGCCTCTCTGCTGCCATCTGTCACATGGCAACAAAATGTAACAGAATGATGGTGAGAAGGTTCAGCCCCTACTGCCATATCTCCAACATCATAAAACAGGAGGTGTTACTTTCAGGGCGACCCCTGTGATTCTGGAAGGTGAGGTGCAGATAATATCTCTGCCATAAGTGGCTTTGTAACCCCCCCCACTATTGCCACCATTTTTAGGGAGTTACAAGGGTTGCATGCAGGGAAGTGTGAAGTGATTACAAATGCATCATGCGGAACATAACTGCCACAGTCTTTTCTCTGTAGGGTTGTGCATTGAGCTTATTTATGATTATTGCATCATTATCTCACTGTAGGAGTACGAAGCTGCCATAGAACAACTGAAGAATGAGCAGATACGGGTACAAGCAGAAGAGAGACGAAAAACACTCAGTGAGGAAACAAAACAGCATCAAGCAGTAAGGGAATGAGGGGAAACCCACTGATGGGAGCCCTTGGCTCTGTCGTCCTGCTTGGGGAAGGAAACAATGCATTCATTGTTTTGGTGGTGTGGTGGGCAGCCATAACTGGGGGGCTGTGCATGCTGAGCCTGTCTTCTACCCTGTCTGTGTGATGTTGAGCTTGATTTGTAGTTGTATTTACTGATAACACTTTAGCACGAGTCAATGCATTGGCAATAATAGTGAAATCAGGGACGTGCAAGCTAGCTTTTGTTCTAACAGCTCACGTGGTGGAGAACAGGGAAGCAGGGGGCTGATGAATTCTAATCATCTATATACTTTGGCACGTGTTTCTTGTCCCTCTAAAGTGTGGACTTTGAACAGGGCTGGCTCAGGAAGCAGGCTCCACTTCTGTGCCTCAGTTAGCTTCTAAACTCCTGCAGTTCACAGGGCATCACTGGAAGTCAAAGCTAACTTTGTGATTTGCTTCTGATGTGCCGTGCTTTGAAGAGCAGTTGTTGAGATAACTGTTCTGGTGTCTCTGTATCTGGAATGGAAAATAATATCAGCTGTTGTGCAGAGTCCTTATTGGTTGATTGGGACCCCAGACCACTTTCTGTTGAGTTCAGCTGGTGTGGGTTTATTTGTCAGTTGCAGTGGAGAATTGACAGATTAGTGAGGAACAAGAAAATGAATTGGAAACACCACTCATCTGACAGTCAGTGTATCTTGCCATTTCTGTTGCCTGCAATTGCTGGTCCAGGTACTTTGTTTTAGAACATGAAAGCATGTTTATCCCAGTAAAGTCTTTTTCTGAGCCAGAGTACACTTGGTCTTCATTTTGGTGCCTGTGATACCTTAAAATGAGGTTTGACACGGTAGACTTCTCAGCATAGATGAGTTTTTGGAGATAGCTGAGGATATTTTTTCCTCTATTCACTTTTCAGACCCTGGATTGATTGATTGGTTTGTCTTGTTTGTGTTTTGTTGTTTTTTTTCCCCCTGCACGTACCCAATCTTGTTGCTGCTGGTACTTTTTTTCTCTTAAGTGCTTAATCTTTATATTCTGAATACTCCTTTCCTTTATCATTTTGTTTTGTCTCATGCAGAGAGCCCAATACCAGGACAAATTGGCACGGCAGCGCTATGACGAACAGATGCGACAGCAGGTATGGTTGTTTTTTTAACAGCTGGGAACTGCAGTAGTTTCTCTTAGGTTCTGGCCAGACATCAAATGGAAGGTCAGGAATTTGGACAGAGTGGCTAAGAGTGTGGGATTATCAGTATGAATCTGACAAATGGAGAGAGGAAGAATGCACTTCAACCTAGTGCACCAGCTTCTTGATAACAATTTATAAAGTTAAGTTTATACAAATACCTACTTGACTGAGTTCTTAAACTTGAATGCATCTTCTGCTGTCATCTCTGCCTCCAGCAACTTGCTAATGAAGAGAATCTGAGGAAGCAGGAAGAATCTGTACAGAAGCAGGAAGCCATGAGGCGTGGTAAGTTACCTTATTCTTCCTTAGCTCTTAAGGTGTGCAGGCAGATCAGTCTCTGTACTCATCTTTGACTTCTTCAGGTTGGTTGGTGCTCCTTTAGGGATGTATTGGCAAACAGTGTAAGCCCAGGAGCATTGGAACTGCAAGATCAGTTTCAGAAGTGATTGAACTACTGGCTGCTCTGTGGGACTTGGATTTCTCAATAAACTACCAGCATCTCCTTATGTTGCAGTGAAAGCCTGGTTCTACACAGGAGCAACCTAAAATACAACCAATTTTGAGGAAAGAGAAACAAAATAGCTGACATAAGGAGTGGTTGAAACAAAATCACCTAACCTCTACTTATTTGTTGCTGTAGAAAATACAAGCTGAATCATGACCTTTTAGTGTGACACTGGCTTTGTTTCTTGTCATTGTTATAGAGTTACCAGAATCACTGGGTTGGTAGAGCTCCAGCAGGACTATGAGGCAGCTTGTAGGTAAACAAATAGGATCAGAGTGTTGTTTTGCTTGCTGCTCATACCTGGACTCCAATCTGTCCGCTCCTTGCTGCCATCTGGTGTAGCATTGTGGCAACAATTCAGCATAGCTCAATTCTGAGCCTTGTGGGAGATGTGGCTGTCAGGGCAGTCAGTCTGTCCAGCATCCACGTGTCCAGGCTGCTAGCAAAGATCTGGATGATCCAGCCACAATTTTGTGCAGCATCACAGAAGATTGAGGCTGGTGGCTGTGCTCATCTCATGGGTTGTTCTTAGGTTTCTCATTCATTTTCCAGTCAAGTGAATGTTAATGCTTCTGTAGCAGTTCCGCATCCCAGTTCCCATCCCCTCTTTGGGACATCTTGAGCCAGCCTAAAAGATTGACCTGTCTTTTATTTACAGCCACAGTAGAACGCGAGATGGAGCTGCGGCATAAGAACGAAATGCTGCGTGTTGAAGCAGAGGCAAGAGCTCGTGCCAAAGCTGAGAGGGAAAATGCAGACATCATCCGGGAGCAGATCCGCTTAAAAGCTGCAGAGCATCGCCAGACAGTGCTGGAGTCCCTCAAGTATGTGAAGCCAAGAGAAGGACATGGGCTGCCTTGTTTCTTGTGCACATTTCCTTTGTCTTGTAGGAAGCCTTTGCCGTTGATTCCTCTGAGCTCTGAGGAATATGATGAGTTGCTTTGGACACTTTTGTACATTGAATAATAAGGATTATGTGGAGGAGAACCTTTTTCAGCTGTTTGTGCTTTGGAGTCTGAGCATGAACCAAAAAGAGTATTTATAGAGCTGTGAGTCTCACACAGTTTTCCTAACAGATGATTTCAAGCCATATTTATTAAAACTGAGGCTCAGTTACTCTGAAAACTCACAGCTCTTTCAGTTTCTGGATATATGCCATAAAAATATAAACAGTGCATTTCTGAGTGGGAGGGCATTTAAAAATTAATTATGACTGGTTCTAAAGGAGGTAGTTATAGAACGTGAAGCTGTGTTGTAAATTGCTTCAATCCAGCCTTCAGAATTCTTCTGCTTATCTTGATGTTTCTTCACCATAGGACAGCAGGGATGCTCTTTGGGGAAGGATTCCGTGCCTTTGTGACAGACTGGGATAAGGTCACAGCCACGGTAAGATTGTGACACATATAGACAAAAAGCCTGGCAAAGCTCTTGTTTTATATTGGGCTGCCAAGGTTCTTAAAATGGCATCAGAGCAGCTCATAGCTGAAATGCATTTTGGATCTGTACGCATGCTTTCATTATCAAATGTGCCTATTCAGAATGAACAGGCTGGAAACCTGGAGAGTACTTATAGACCCATTACGTGTGCTAAATAAGTTGATTAAAGATGTCCCAGCATCTTCTTGCAGGACAGAAGACCCTGGCAGTTACTTCCTGTTTAACATAATGTCATTTCTCACTGCAAAACTGTGCAGCACTGAGGTATTTTTAGTAGCATGGCTCGTTAAAATGGACAATTTGCTTTAAATCAGTGGCAACCATCTGCTCCACCAGGCAGTTCTATACACAGAGGCTGGCACAAAAGGCACTTTGTCCAAGTGTGCTGGGGAATGGATGCTTTCAGTGCATCCTTTTGTCATCTGCAGGCTGTACCTGGAGTGCTTGCAGTATCTGGAGCCCTTTGAAGATGGCTGCTTTTAGCTGTATGTTCTCTTGACCCAGATACCAGTTTCTTGCATTGTGGTCATTTTTGCTTCTGATCACCTCTTGTCTTGGGAAATTGGAACTTCTTTTATTTAATATATAAATAAAGCTAAGAGTACATATATTTTTGGAAAGGAGGTAACACAGCCAGAACTCTTACATTTTGGTTGCTTTGAAAAAATGCTGTAATGCTGACTATGAGGCAAGATGTAGGTAGCTATTTTAGAGTTCCTCTAAATTAACCCTGCTAGGATACCTTCTTTTAGTGGAGGGCTGCTAAAAAGGTGGAGCTTCTTGTGTTCTAAATCCCTGCAAACTGGGAGTAACCAGGTAGAGATCTTACTCTTTGCCCCTTGAACCCACTGTTCTGAACTCTTCCATCCAAAGCAAAGGTGATGTCACACACTTAAGCAGAGTAGAACTGAACAGGTGGCATCTTATGGTTTATTGAATGATGCCCTCCTTGTTGTCCTTGAGGTTCTTGACATTGATCTGTACTTGTTGCAGAAGTCCACTCACTTTTAAAACAATTGCAGCTTGCTCTTTTGTCCACCTGGCCTTGCTCTGATAGGAACGTCCTTAGCATTGTCAGTGCAGCTCCTTGTCTTTTCTGATAACTTGCTAGGGTGGGAAAAGCTGCCTGCAGGGCTTCTTGGTTTAATGCGAGCCAACTGAGTGCTGAGCAGCAACCACGAAGCACAGAGAGCAATCCAGAGGCTTTCTGCTTTGCTGACAAATTAATGGCAATGTCTCATGTTCTGGGGTTTGTAAACAACCTCTTCTCTCACTGTAGTGCAGTGGTGTCAATTCCCACAGTAGTTTTGATGTTGAAATGCCTCGAGTACCCATTCTTTTGTATTGTCTGACATTACTGTCCTCCTACCAGGTGCACCCATGCCCATTCCTTTCTTGCTCCCTGCTCTGTAGTGGGAGCTTTTGGCCTCTACTGTCACTGCAACACTTATTTGCTTTGTCTCCTGTTCAAAAAAGAGCTCTAGGAAGCGTTTCTGTGACATGTTTCCTAAGGTCATCTCTACCTCCACTTGCTCATGCTCCTGTTGCAGTGCTTTCTTGGAAGGATATACACTTCTGATGGTTATCTGTGGTGTACTATGCCACTTTTCCAGTGGCATGCCTTGATTCATTCTGTGATTTACATTGACCCCATGCCCTCCTTAGGGAAGGTGAGTAAATATACTGGACCTGTATCTCTTAAAATTCCAAATACTTTTCCTAATCCTCATCCCCTTTTCTTTCTAGGTGGCAGGCCTAACCTTGCTGGCTGTGGGAGTTTACTCTGCCAAGAATGCCACTGCAGTAGCAGGACGATACATAGAAGCACGTTTGGGTAAACCTTCTCTGGTGAGAGAGACCTCACGCATCACTGTGCTGGAGGCCCTGAAGCATCCTATCAAGGTAGAGTGTGGCTCTGTCTTTGTCTTGCTCTCAGCTATGAGGATGCAGAACTCCTTTTCCAGCTCTGTGTCAGGCAAGGATCTGCCTGTGAATAAATGTACTAATAGAGGCTGTGTGGGTGAGCTGATCTCATTGTCTTAATATATTAAGTTTGTGGTTTCTGAGCATTGGAAGCTGTGGTCGATTTCTACATGTCAGTGATTGAAGTTTTCCTCTCTAGGTTGGTAAGCGTCTCACCAGTAAGGCTCAGGATGCCCTTGAAGGAGTTGTTCTCAGTGTGAGTACTGTGTTCTGCTGTCTTATCTGTTGAGTGATGACTTCTGAATCTAAATAGGGAAAGCTGTTTCCTTGTGTGCACTTCAAATGATGTAATTCTAGTAATTCTAGCACCTGCAGTGCACTGAGACCATATATAAGCTCCGATGCTCACTGGCACATGTTAACATTTCTGTTAACCTTCTTTTTCCTCTGAAGAAAACATAGTTCAGTGCTTGCTTGGCTGCAGTTTTTCTCTGCAGTCAGCATGCTAATAGTCAGAGTTCCATTTATCTCATCTGTGAAATACTACTGAACTTATGGTTGCTGCACTGCTTCCTGGCTTAAGCAAGAGAACCACAGTCAAGTGGACAGAACTAGAAATTGAGTAAATCCTGAATACAGAGGAAATAGCTCTGCTCCAAAGCAATAAGTAGCTCAAGTGAAGGCTTACAAGCTTGAGACTGTAGGAGCATTGCTGCCTTCTTGCTGGTACAGATCCCTGAAGCTGATCGATGCTGGTCTCTTGGTTCTTTCTAATCCTTGAACTTAACTCTTTTCTTACAGCCCCAATTAGAAGCACGTGTGAGAGATATTGCCATAGCAACAAGAAATACAAAAAAGAACAAAAGCCTATACAGGAATATTCTGATGTATGGCCCTCCTGGCACTGGAAAGACACTTTTTGCCAAGGTAAAGCCCTGCCAGCATTCTGACTGCCTATGTGGTGCAAAGTGCTCCAGAAACTGCAGGTCTTAAGTATCCTCTCTGGTCTGAAACCCATTGTTTAAACTTTGGGTTTTTGCATCTCTGTTGATAAGGGAGGAGAGAGCATCCACCTGCACCAGCTCTGAATTAACACAGTCACTTGGGTTCTAAGCTAAGCTTAGGCAGAAGAACTTCCACCTGGAAAAGGCAGTTGGCAACTGTGACTTGGGAAATTGCAATGCCAGCCTTCTCACTTCCACCTCTGTTCATTACATGCACTTGTCCAAATAAGGTCTTTCTTGCTGTCACTTACTAATCCCTAAATGAAAGAGAAAGATAAGTATGGCTTTACTTTGCACATGCTCTACGGGGTGGTTTGCAAGTGGGCTTCTGTAACAATTGTTCAAATCAGTACAGTGGGAAGGATGTTATAACAAAGGTGTGATGATGGAAGGGCCAGCACAATAGAAAAGTGCTATAAAGGAAGGGAAGAAGATTGCTTACCTGTATCAGAAGATTCCAGATTCATAGGAGAAAGCTTCACCAAGGAAGAATCTCCAGAAAGAGATCCTTCCTCACTGGCAGTCAGCCCTTAAATGAGGTCTCAGAGAGGTGCAGCCAGGCTCTACCCCTTCTGATCACACCCCTGAATTGCCTTCACCTGTGCTCCCAGGGCTGACAGGGTCCTTTCCCCAAGTGCTCAATCAATGGTTCATGCCCTGACTCAACAGTTCCCATACAGCTTGAACTGGGATTCCAGTATTTTTACTTGTTCTTCTCTGCTTTTCCAGTAGATGTGAGGTTCCCTATGCTTGTTCAGGAGCAGCAGATTTGACATGCTGATGCAAGATGAGCTTTGTGCCTCTGTCAATACAGTAAACGTGTAGTCCAGTTGTGTTTGCTGCCAGTTCTGATTGCATACCAGCTAGTTTGGATTTCTGAATCCCATAGGGAAGGGCAGGACTTGGAAGTGGCAACAGCAGTGTAAGGAGATAGGAGAAAAGAGCTGAGTGTTGGGCAGTGGAAAAAGGGGAAGAAGTGCATTTAACACTTCTCCAATACGATGGGAGCTCCAAAGAGGTGGTGGTAGCTATAAAGAATTGGGATGGATCAGAAGGAAGATGATGTAGGAGTGAGGAAAGGACTGAGTACCTGTACGTATGTTCTGGAGAGGACAAAATGCTGCATTGAAAAGCAGATTGCTTTCTGAGCTGTGACTTTTGTGCTTATGTTAATGGCAGCAACTGTGCAGTTTGCTGTCCCTGCTTCCCAGAAAGGCAACATGTCACATAGCATGGTGGCTTTCTGACTACTGCAAAACAAAGCCATGTGGATCTGTGGTGTTAAGTATTTATGCTACATGACAGGGTTCTTGAGGCAGATGTAAACACACTTGGATGTAATAGCTGTCAGAGCTCCCAGCTTCGTTGGACTGATGCAGAACACTGAACATTAGCAGCAGGAACCGGGTGGTTTTAATGGGCAGAGCGTAGCTCTTTTTTCCTGCCTCCTGCTGAGCAGCACATAATTGGTTGGGTTCAGCTGAGCGTGTTTTGCTGGAGCTGATGCTTATCTACGTGGCTCGACTTGTTCATTTTAACCTTCAGATGACTTTCCTTTACTCAGCAGAAGCAAATAGCCAGCTCTGGGTCAGCTAATGGAGTGTTAGCTCGGGCTGCTGCCTGTCCCCGTGGCTCAGTTGGTGGCTGCTACGTGAACTGCTTTCTGAAATGGAGGGTAGAGATCTTTCCATCCCGTTATTTCAGACACAGGTGGCTGTGGCCTTATTCACCACTGAGATATTGTAATGAGATGGAATGGAATTTGAAGCTAGGAGCTTATTAGCCATGTTAATAGTTGGGGCTGAGGCAGAGAGGGGATTTCTTGAGGCTGTGACGACATGGCAGCTCAATCATAGTTGGGTCAGTGTGAGCCAGAGACTCCTACAAAGTTCTGGGTGAACTTCAGTTATATCTGCTCAGCCTTGCTTGATGGACAGGCTGATAGTTTGTGAGCTAGCAAAAAAAGCACAGAGACTTGGTGTATTTACATTTTACCTGCAACTTAAGGGAGACATTTCCAGCACAACCCAGGAGCTCCACTTTGCTCAGTGGCCACGAGCTGTGGCAGGTTGATCCTGGATGGCCTTGCAGTGAAAAAGGTTTCTTAACTCTATTTTTGTTCCCTTCCAGAAATTAGCTGTGCACTCAGGCATGGATTACGCCATCATGACGGGTGGTGATGTTGCCCCTATGGGGCGGGAAGGAGTGACTGCCATACATAAGCTCTTTGATTGGGCAAACACCAGTAGGAGAGGGTAAGTAGAGCTTCCTCTGACTCCTGAATGTGGTTTCTTGCTCAAAGAAACTCACTGCAGTGATGTAGTTCAGACTGCTGCGTGAGCGATGCTCTTGCATAGATGAGTGCTGAGTAAGAACAGCTTGCCTAGAATGAGTGCATTTTGCATTTTTTGCATTTTTGCTGCCTTATAGCATTTAAAAAAGCTCCACTCTTTGATTTCTTAAGAGTGTAGTCAATTTGTACTGGTGAAAATAGATTTCTGCAGTCCAAATGCAGCTGAGGAGCATCCTTGTTCAGCCAGGATATTAAAGCCCAATGGAGAACTTGCAGGGAGTGCCTGCTGATTTTTGTGTTACATTTTGATTGCAAGTTTTCTGTAGATAAACACGACAAATTGATGATTTATGTGTATCCTGATTGCTTTAGATGGACACTATCTTGCAGTGTCTGTTTCAATCCTTGCTGCATTTGTCATCTAAATGTTTCTATTTCCCCTTCATAAAACAAACCTGCAGAGTAATGACCTGAGGATCTAAACTCTTTGCGTTTCTCTCAACCTGCTGGATGCTTCCACCATAGAGTTCTCTTTCAGAGCTCTGGCTGCTCTGAATTTATTTTGTCCTGGTTAAAAACTTCTGTCTAATAAGAACTTCATACACTTCAGATCAATGTCTCAGAAAAGTGATGGGCAAAGGTTAGCTGTGTCCATACATGAGTGTTCTAAGCTTGAGTAACATGCAAACATCTAAGCAGACTTTATTCTGGATATCCAACAGTTTAAACTGCTTGCAAGTTCTGTGTTGCCTTTATTGACCAAAATCAGAAAATGCTTCTCTTATAGTTGAGAAAGGTTTTCAGAAAAACTGGAGTTGAATGTGAGAATGAGATGTTAAGAGGCCCTAAAACCTCTTGGATAAATGCTATGAAAGAGAGATGTATTTGAAGCTGGACAAGAAAGTAATAGAAGCTGTGGCAGCTTTATGAGCAGCCTGGTTCAGTTATTGATAAACATCTTTATACACTGGGTCCCTTGGGAAGAGCACTGCCCTTGGGTTATAAGTGAATTTATTTTCCTGAATTATTCATTGACTTTATTAATTCACTTCTCCGCAGGTAGTAAAACCTTTCCATTATTGCCAGTGTGGTTTGGAAAGGAAAACCAACCAAACAGCAAAGCAGTGTGCAGGGGAGGGCTGTGGCTTCAGGTTTTGAATGGGATAAGGAAGGAGCCACCATCAGCTCAGCTTCTTGGATGCTTGTGTTTCAGCCTTGCAGCCTCACACATTTCTCTAGATAAGAGTCAATGCTAAAATAAGCACTTTCCAATACCTGGGGAACAGGTCTAGTTTTCTGCTCAGACTTGACAGGAACACAGCAGCACTGCTAGATGTACAGCTGGTCACTGCTGTGGGTATCTGGAAGTGAGACAGGGGAATCTTGGAGCTTTGTGAGCCTCACTTACCTGTCCCTATTACTGTGTAGTGTTTTCTTTTTGCAGCCTCTTGCTATTTGTGGATGAAGCAGATGCATTTCTGCGGAAGAGAGCCACGGTAAGTGCTTTCTTTCTGGTCATTATCTTTGCATGCTGCAGTTAGCTAGCCTGCAGCCTACTTGTTTAACGTGATTAGCCAGCTTAAACAGGCAAAAGATTAAAACTGGAAGGTGCTGTGCTGCTCAATTAAGCAATGCAGAGATGAGAAATGAGCCTTTTGCAGCTGAACGATGTGAGCATCTCAGAGCTGACCTGAGAATTCTTCCCTACAAAAAAACCTTTGCAGGTGGCTGGGAGAATCCTTGACAAAAACAAAGCTCACCTTGTCAATAACGCTGCTTAAACTGTGACCTGTCTAAAGTCCCAAGCAGCTGATCTTCCTTTGGGTTTTATCTTTGCAGGAGAAAATCAGTGAAGATCTCAGAGCAACGTTGAATGCATTCCTGCACAGAACAGGGCAGCACAGCAACAAGTATGTATGTGGTTGGTTTCTAACGTGACTTATTGCTGATTTGGGCAATAAAGCATCCCACAACTATAAATGGGAGCTCACTTGTATCCTTTTCACCCACATGTCAAAGGGAAGGTCTGAATATCAGGTTGTGTGTCAATTCTTTATCTATAATGTTTTTTTGCAGGGACTTGAGGAGAGTTCCTATCAATAGACAGGAGCAGTTTTGTGCCAGTGTAGCTCTTGGGCCAGCCAAGTTATCTGCACAAATGACAGCAGAGAACACAGCCCCCTGTAGGCTTGGATTTAAATAGACCACAAGAACGTCAGTGTTTCAATAGCTGTGGTTAAAAGCCCATTTCAAATTACAACGCACCCTTAAGCTGGTAACATCAATTAAGGCATTAAAGTGCAGTTGGCATTGGGAAGACACAACGTTACAGAGCAAAAGAAAGGACTTCTGTCTCCAAAACAACATCATTTGGAAGCTGGCACAGCTGTACCACGGAGCAGAAGTTGGTTTAACACACTGCCTTCACATTGCATTACCCATTGTGAGTGCCTCTGTTTGAGCACATGTTAGGCCTGATAGCAGGAATCTCAGTCTTGATTGAAGGAAACAAATCAACTCCTGCCAGCTGCTGCAGGAGAATGACCTTGCCATACACAAACCCAACAGGAGCATGCTCTCCTTACTCTCATGCTGGGATGAGTCCATTCAGGGCTCAGACGTGGAGGTCTGTGGGAGGTGGTACTATTGCTAAATGTTTGATATCCACAACTCGAGGGTGATTGTGGGTAACACAATAAGTTAGGCATAAATGGCAAAAACAGCCTGAGAAGGGCTGATATTGCAGGCTATGTACTGCAGGATGTCACTTGAGATGCAGTTACAAAGCTGTTTCTAAGACAATGTCAGGTGATGAAAGGCCTTTGACCAGAGCAGTTCCTGAGGTTCGATTTGGTTTTTAGTTAATTTTCTATGGTTCTTTTCAGTCTTCTCGTTTCATACTTCCAGGTTTATGCTTGTTTTAGCAAGCAACCAGCCTGAGCAGTTTGACTGGGCTATCAATGACCGAATAGATGAAATGGTGAACTTTGATCTGCCCCAGCTAGAAGAGCGAGAACGGCTCGTGAGGATGTATTTTGATAGGCATGTCCTGAAACCAGCCACAGAGGGTAAACAGTGAGTATCCCTGCAGGATTCTCCTTGTTGCTGTTGTCCTCAGCTGTAGTGAAGCCACCTCCCTTCTCCAAAATGAAAAAAAACCTGATGCTCCCCTTCAGAAGTGTAATTGTCAATAGCAAGTTGCTCCCTCTGCCTTCCCCCCTCTTGTCACATAGATACATATAAAGCAATCCTTGTGCTTCTGCTTTTAGACGTTTGAAGCTGGCCCAGTTTGACTATGGCAAAAAGTGCTCGGAGATTGCCAGGCTGACAGAGGGCATGTCTGGCCGAGAGATCTCCCAGCTTGCTGTGGCATGGCAGGTAGGTTGGACTTGGATCACTGGGCTTCCTGCTTCTTTTTCCCTTTCTATAAGGCTTGTTGATTTTTTTTTTTTGATGGAGTCTCAGATCTTGGAAAACATCATTATGTCCTTGTAGTAATACTAGAACACTACTAGCTCTAGAGTCAGTGTCTGCATAACTCCTTGTCTCATTAAAGAGCTCTTGGAATCACCAGTGGAGAAACCCCCTGTTGAATTAAAGCAAAGCAAGTTCCTTAGGAACAAGTGTGGCCAAACCATGCTGGCTGTTATTCATGTTCCAGCTCAAGAGGTTTAGCAGGAGAGATGCCTGATGCTGCCTGTAGGTCTGTCAGCATCAGGACACTGAAGCATCTTTCCACCCTGCTTCAGTCTGAATGTCTTTTCAATACAATTTGGGTGATTGAAGGAGTGATGCTAACTGGAAAACAGAGGCAATTGTCTACTACTTATTTCTATATAGGCACCATGCCTATATAGCATTTCTGGCAGTGTTAGCCCTGCCTTTCTGCTATCCTTTCCATTGTGCTGCTACACCTCTTTGTATGGCTGTGCTGTGAACTGGGTCAGGGAGCTGAACGAGATTAAAAATAGCTTGGCAAGGCAAGCTGAGTGCAGCCACACTGTTGTCTTGGCACATCTGAGGTCAGGGTGTGTAGGGGCTGTCTGGCAGGAGACATAGATAAAGGGCAAAAAGAGTCAAGAAAAAGGGAAAACGAGGCATCTCTTACAGTTGCTTTTTATCTTGGGAGCACCTTACAAAGCTGATAAACAGCAGATGTTGTGAGCCTGCTGCTCTTTAGAAGTCCTCAAAGCTGCCTTGAAACAGTTATGTCTTGAGACATTTCAGTGCTCTTTCAGATGGGCTCATCAGGACAGCTGCTGAGATGCAGTGTGCCTCAGGTCTCTGCCTAATAAATAGATTCAATTGACCCATTCTGGGAGGATTACAGCACAAAGCCCTGGTGAAAACTGCTTTGCTGGTGCTGGAGCACAGAGCTAGGTGGGAGCATTTTGTTTGCCTTTTGTTTTCAGCTATTTCCTACAGTGACCTGATGCGACTTGGAGCTAATCCTCCAAGTGTAGGCTTAATTGCAATATGCCTGTCGCTTAATTCACCTCGCATTTCTGTGTATGTTTTCCTTAATTAGTTTTTTCCTCCAGCAGTCATTTGCAGTGTTGCTGTCTGGAAGCGTTCTGCCTCTACAGGTGTCTCAGAGCAGAGCCTTAACCTGTGTCTGGGCAGCAGAGCTGAGAGACACTGTGTCAGCCTTCATCTGCATTGAAGTGCTGTTCAGTTCCACAGGGGCTGTCCTGCTATCACCTCCAGCTGATTGTGGCATGCTGCCTGCAATCCTTAAGCCTTAACTTCTGCGTATTGAAACCCAGAAAGCAGCAGGTAGTTGAAGGAAAGGTGTGATAGAATTTTAAGATGCTGGGACTTACCTCATAGGCTCTTACCTCAGCCTGCCTGGGCTCATGGACAGAACCAAACCCAGAGGTGGTTTGGGAGAAGGTCAGGTTGTGAAGCAGTTGGGGGATAAACCATCATAGCAGTCAGTTCTTCCCAAAGAGCAGCCCAGAATGACAACAGAAGGCTGCTCTGCAGCCCTATGGCCTTGCAGCTATTTCCCATGAAGGTGCTTTTGCCATTATTGCCATGAAGGTAAACATCTTAGTTAAGCAAGAAAGCCTGAACAGCCCTGCAGCTTCCATAGATTGGAATTCCTCTGGAAGATAGGTGTGCCATCTGAATGCAGTTATGGTTCACTGCTCTCTCACTTTGTCCTGAATGTTCCAAACAGGAAAAATAAGGTGCAGCAAAGCAGAGAGTGAGTGCTGGCACTGAGAAGAATACTGTTTATGGCACAGCTGATGGTCTGCATGCTGCAAATCCATTTTAATCTCTTCTGCCAAAGACCTTGCCTTCCCTTTTCTCCTTGCTCTTTTCCACTCCCTGTACCTAATCCTTGATGAATGCAGCATAGATTAGATGCATTTACACACTTCAGAGTTCCCTTTGAATCTGGGACAGTAATGTGCAGGCTTCCCAGTTTTGCATCCTGACCTTAAACCTGCTGATAAGCTTTAGATAAAGCATCAGCACAGAAGCCCTCCACTTTTCCAAGCCTTAATTATAAGGATGGAAGTATCTTTCCCATTTTATTTTTCAGCAGGCTGCTTTCATTAGAATTGTGATTCAAAGGCACCAAGGCCAAGTGGAAACAGACTTGGATCTGAACTGAAAAGAAGCATTGGGTCATTCAGGCTGCATTTGGCATCTGTGCTCCATCTCTCTCCTTGCACCAACACACGTTGTTTTGGGTTAGAGTTACAAAACACAAATAGTTGGGTTAAAATGGGTTAAAATCTGTCCAGGCAGGAGTCAGAGGTATGAATACAAATGAGCACAGCACCATCTCAGTGTATGCAACTCCTCCCAGAAGGGACAGCTGCTTCCCCCATTTGCTTTCTTGACAACGAGGGCCTGAGGCTTCCTATAAATAGAAAGTCATTGAGAAAATCAACAGAGCATGAACTGCACAGCTTTGCAGGAGTTTCCACTGTCGGATTTGGGGGCTGTGCAGAGGCAGGGAGGGAGGAAGGCTCTGTGCCCAGGAAGGGGATGCAGGCAGAGGTTTGGGTAAGGAGCTGGCTGTGTCAGGCTGCCTTACAGGCATTGCTGTACCAGGAATGTGTTATGGGAGCTCTGGCACAGGGACTCACCAGATATAGAAGTCTGCAGCTCGGGGTTGCGTTGTTACCTTGGAGATAAGATGCTCAGCTCACAGTGCCAGCAGCCTCCCCTTCCTTCTGGGCTGCAGCTGCGTGCTGCATTGCATTGCTGGGCTCCCACATTCCTTGTGTGCAGACCAACAGGACAACACCACTGGTACAGATGCAGGAGAGTGGCACAGGTGGCTTTTACCTTCACAGCCACTGAAGGATTAGGTAAGGGAAAGCCTCATAGGACATGTAGTAGTTGGACTGAGCAGTATGATGGTGTAGTGACAGAAGGCTCAGCATGATAGAAAGGTACTATAAAGGAAAGGAAGAAAATTGCTTACCTGTATCAGAAGATTCCAGGTTTGCAGGAAAAAGCTCCACCAAGGAGGAATTTCCAACCAGAAATCCATCCCCTATGGCAGTCAGCCCTTAAATGAGGTCTCAGAGAGGTGCAGCCTGGCTCCATCCCTTCTGATCACACCCCTGAATTGCCTTCACCTGTGCTCCCAGGGCTGACCCTTTCCCCAGGTGCTCAATCAGTGGTTCAGGCTGTGACTCAACACGCAGGACACGAGGATGGGATGGGAGTTGATGCAACACAGCAGCAATACGGGGTGATTCCAGGTGGAAAACCAGAGGATCACACACCACACATCATTTTAGAGATGCTGCGTTCACCCTGACACTGCTCTTAGTCCTCCCTTGTAACCATTTAAAACCATTTCCATTGCTTTGGACGGAGATGCTCCATCAGCGTATGCACCTTTTCCTCTCTACCTCATTGGCTTCATGTGTGCTTTTCCTCTGCCTTTGCCTCCCCAGGCTGCTGCTTATGCGTCAGAGGACGGCGTTCTGACCGAGGCCATGATCGATGCTCGGGTCGCTGATGCTGTGCAGCAGCACAGGCAGAAGATGGAGTGGCTGAAAGCAGAGGGCACAGAAACGAGCAAAGAAGGCATCAGAACCCCACTGTTGCCTTTCCCCAAAGGAACACCGGTGTGAGAAACACCTGCAGACCGGTGTGGGTGGGGATGTGGGCAGAGGAGAAGAGTGGGGAGTGTCTTTTTGGGTGGAATCATGTGAGAAACGTGCCCCTTGGTGCAAGGGAAGGGGGGGGGAGTGCTGCCTTGGTCTGCCTTTCATTTCATGTTGGAAATAGGAAAAATGGTTGAAATAAGGCAGAAATAATGGTATTAAAGGACCCCCTTGCTCAAACATTGGTGGCTGTGTTAGTCTGTCCTGTTAGAGAGGGCCAACTCCAAATCCTTTTTGGCCATTTGGTGCTGTTTTGGGATGTCCTGGTGACCCAGCTCTGCAAGAGCCCTGGGGCTGTCCAAACCTTCTCTTCTTATGTATATAAATTCATCACGCTTACACAGAATCACAGAATGGCCAGGGTTGGAAGGGACCTCAAGGATCATGAATCCACATGCAGAGCCACCAACCTCCTCATTTAATGCTAGACCAGGCTGCCCAGGGCCCCATCCAACCTGGCCTTGAACACCTCCAGGGATGGACGGGGCATCCACAGCCTCTCTGGGCAGCTGTTCCAGCACCTCACCACTCTCATAGTAAAGAACTTCCCCCTGTCTTCCAACCTAAATCTCCCCTCCCTCAACTTCAAACCATTTCTCCTCGTCCTTTCAAAGAGTTGATTCCCCTCCTGTTTGTAGGCTCCCTTTTGGTATTGAAATGCTGCAATGAGCAGAGGTATTTCTGACATTTTTCCCCAAGTCCTGCCCAGGGTGTGCCTCCTCCCTGCTTGCATCTCTGCACAGCATCACTGCTCTCCTGTTGTCACGCATGGAGAGCTCTGGCACACGGGTGGCAGCGATGGGACTCTTTAGCTCCTGGCTGCTGCCATGGAGCTGCTCTCACTCTGCGTGTCTCTCACTTCGTTTCTGCAATAGCAGAGAGATGTTCTGTCATCAAATCGTGTGTGCAGGTCGGAAAACCTTGTATTATTTTTTTTTTTTCCCTGAGTTTGAACTGGATTTGAACTCTGTGCTTTGCTCCGAGTCCCCTCCTGTAACTACACAGAGCGAGCACATTTGTCTGACCCCCAAATCTGTGCCCTTGAGTACCTTGCTGAGCTTCTCTCCTCCGACAGGAACTGACAGCAGCCTCAGCTGTGCCTGATTTGCTGGTGCAGGAGATGCATCCTGACTCAAGCCTGGGAGCACAGAGGGCAGCGGGGGCTGCTGGGGGCTGCAGCTGGCAGCATGGTGGGACAGCAGGGATGAGCTGTGCCCCTGGCTTCTCTCAGCGTGGTTCTCTTCTGCTTTCCTCTGGGTGCCAAGAGAGAGAAAGAATGGGAGGATTTGAGGAGCTGCTGCTTTGTAGGGCTGGGTGTCTTGCAGCACCACTGTGTGCCCAGGTAACCGTGTCTTGTCCTTATGCTGATTGCACTTCTGCTGCTACAAACAGCCAGGAAGGGAGAGCCCTGCCCTAAAGCCAGGCAGCGCAGTTGCTGTCTCAGCTCCTTTATGAATTCCTCCTTCAGATTACACCAGGTTCCTGCAGGGATGCACAGGCACTGATGCTCCTGCTGCTGCTGATGCACGCTTTGTGCTGTGCAGGTGTGGGTTGCCCAAAGGCTTCTCTTGCATGAGTGGAGCAGAAGAGCATCCCATGCTTTGGGAGCAATGAGGAGCTTGAAATGTTGCATGGTGTAAGGTGAGGAACGGACAACTTGTTTCCCTTGGGTTCAGTATTCTTAACCTGCTGTTTTTCTCTCTTCTCACTGCACTGGAGCAGTGCCATGGCTCTCCATTCCTCCAGCCTGAGGGCTTTCATTTTTCCCAGGCAGTGTTTTGGGAGCTGGTGAGGTCGGTTCCAGCCAATCCAAATGGAAATCCCATTGTTTGGACCCTGTCCCCTCATGCTATGCTCAGTGGCATGGCTGCAGGGAAACTTGGGCACTTTGCACACAGCCTTGGCCAGCTTGGCACAGCTGTAGCTGTAGGTTTGGATATACTGCTTTCCTCGGGGTTGACACCATAAACTTCTCCATCCCATCTCTCCCATTAGGGTTGGGTTTTGCCATTGGCTCACGGGATGAGCATTGTCCCCATGGAGGTGGCATCCATGAGGGGATGGAGATGAGATGGCAACCCCAGGCTGAAGTTATCTCCCATCCCTGGCACAGAGTGAATTATGAGCTAATAGCACTTTATTAAAACAGTGTTTTGTATTGGAGAGCAAATCCAAGAGCAGATGGATGAGCAAGTGATCCATCACTCCCCATCGCACCGCCGCCAGCTGAACCGCCTCCCCTGCGCTCTGTGTTACAGCTGGGAGGCAGATTTACAGCCTGGTCATCTATCTGTCCTCAGTGCCATCCTGCTCAGTGTTTACTTTGTCACCGAATTGCTGTGCTCAGCATCTCCCCACCCAGCCCTGATGCAGAGGCTGGGAATGGCGTGGTCCTCTTTCTCTCATTCCCAGCTCAGGGCTGAGCACAGCTGCCTCCCCCACCCCAATCCAGCCCTGCTCTGATCCCAGCAGCATCACTCAGTGCAAAGAGTATAGGGAGGGTTAAAGGGGGAGGGGGGGGGTGAGAAAAACCACTCGGATGCAAAACATGCAAAAAGAATATTTTACTGACAAACAGCAAAGGGTGGGCTTAGTTTCAGGAGCAGAACTGGTTACCTACTGTACAAACATATCGCTGGAAGGGAAGGAATGGCTGAATTAGGCTCGCTCGTTGACCCAAATAAAATCACAGTGTGCTTTTCCTGCTGCCTCCCCCACCACGTGCTCTGGGATGTCCCTCAGCTCGGGCACAGCAGCCCTAATGCCATCTGCACGGGCAGGTGTGTTTAATAGAAAATTGGCCATTATTGCTTTTCAACCACAGTAAGGACTGCTCTGGGCTTGGACTCGGAGCAGAGGGTAATCTCTCCCTCCTTTGTTATCAAGTTGTATCTCTCCTGTCTGAATCATGCAGAACGGGTTTGAATGCAGGAAAAAAAAAAAAAAAAAGAAGGATTAACAATCAGGGAAAGCAGCACCCTGGGGTCTGCCCTTGTGTTCCTCACTGCAGGGCAATCCCAGGAGGTTCCTCCTGTGCTGCACTGCCCTGCTCCCCTGTGCACTGCCCTCTCACTGGAAGACACATCTGCTCCACCAGCGTAATCGGGGTGAATGCATTCTGGTCCAAAGGTCTTTCTACTTCTGCTGAATGCGTGAGTAATGGAAGCACTTCTGGTCTTTCACCTCTAGAGATGCTCTGGGAGCTTCTGTTGGCTGTTTCTACCCTTGAAGCTCTCCCAGCATAGAAGTGGGGGTCGGGAAGGGGTGGCATTGGAGTGGGGCTGCCCAAGGGTTCTCCTGCCTGTGCCCTCCAAGATGGTACCCAAGGTAAGTGAGGGCTCCTGCTGTTTGCTCGTGCCTCCTGCAAACTAATATACTGGCTCGTGGGCTGAAGGGAAGCTTCAGCTCCCTATCACCCTCTGCACAGCTCTGTGTTTTGCAGAATCTCTACATGGTTGAGGCTTAGGGGGGACCTCTGGGCCCAGCCCCTGCTCAAGCAACGTTGCCTGGAGCAGGATGACTTCATCCTTCTCTCTCCAAAGAGAAGACTCCACAACCTCTGGGCAACCTGTGCCAGCACTCCAGCACCCACACCATGCACAAAGTGCTTCCTGATGCTCCACTGCCTGTGTCCCATCCCTGGGCACTGCTGGGAAGAGCCTGGCTCTGTCCCCTTTGCTCCCTCCCTTCAGGTACTCATACAGATGGGTGAAATCCCCCTAAGAGCCTTCCCTTCCCCTGGGAGATGCTCTGCTCCCTTCACCATCTCAGTGGCTCTTTAGAATCCTTTGGGACTGGGAATTCTCTTCTCCCAGCTGCGTGCAACTGGAAAATGAGGTAGAGAACAGCAGTGAGAGCCACCAAGACCACCCTGCCATGGTGTGAAGCTTGGGATGTGGGTCTGGGTTCCCTTCTGGGATTCCTACAGCACGTGGCCACAGTGATTCCAGATAGGAAGCAACTGGACAAGATGGCCTTCATCAGCACATGGCTCTCCTACAAAGAAGGGACGCGGTAGGAACAGAGGAGGGCTGGCACAGAGCGGGTTCGATGTGATGCTCTGAGGGAGGACGTTTCCAGCACCAATCCCAGCTCTGGAAGATCAGCATGCACAGTTTGCAGAGCTGTCTCCTCTCTAAAAATAACCCCTCCTGAGGCAGCACAACGTTCCTCCACCACCAAATGCTGCAGGAACCTCCCTCAGAGCATCTGGTGGCCGAGCACTGGGACACGGAGCACAATCCCACTCCTTGTCCAGCTCTGCACCCCGCAGCATCTATTCTGCAGTGCCCTGACCCTGCAATCATTGCTCCCCAATGCTGTTCTCTACCCACCCAGACCCTTCTCACGTGGGGCTGTCGCTGGGTTGTTGTTTTTGCGGTCTGGTTTGGTTTTGTTGTTTTTTTTTGGAGATTTTTTTGTTTGGAAGGGGGAGGAGGAAGGGGGGAAGACTGGATCAGAGAACAACAAACAAGTCAACAGTAGTACATCTCAGACAATGAACGAGGAGAAAACACCCCCACACCCAGACAGAAGCAAAACGAACACATGCACGGGGAAAGAAGACAGAGCAACAGCAGACTTCACACAGCCAAACAGCAGCAGCCTCAGAGGGACAGAGAGAAACGAGCAACTGCAGTGCTGGGAATGCTCACCCCAAGCATGGAGCAATGGGCTCGTCCCATAGGGTCACATCTACAGGACATCTCTGGGTTCAAAGGAGCCAGCTGAGCCCAGGAACACGGAGCTGCGTGTCTCTCACACTGAGGTTGGAAAAAAAACCCTAAGATCACCCAGACCAACTTGATTGAGCTTGGCATTGCCCTTGCACAGACCATGTCTCTTGGATGGCCTTGCTGCATAGCAAAGAGTTTTGCCCCTTGTTTGTTAAGGATAAGAACCAGTAAGGATAAGAACCCTGCTGGCTCTGTGTGTCCTGCTCTGTGAAGAGGGGCTGCTTCCCATGGCTTCAAGAGCAGAGAATTGTTCCGAGTGGATTTAATTGCTCTCAGAGTATTTTCTTTTTTGTTTTATGTTTTGACTGAGTGTAAACAAAAGTGAAGCTCACGTGGTGATTGCTGCAGCCACAGCAGATTAGAAAACCTTCTGTTCTTAAACCATGGGGATGTGCACCATGCAGGATTGGTTTTTTTGTCTTCCAGAACCTAACAGACCCCTGAAATCCCAGTGTGGATCAGACAATCCACGTGAGCTGCCACCTCACCTCTCCAGCTGCAAGGTTCACAATTAATATTTCAACCACAGCCAAATTTCAGAGAAGGGCAAAGCCAGTATGTTCAATTCTGAGTTGAGATCGCTGCTTTAAACCCCTTTTGTGAGAGGCACCAAGCAGAATGTTTATTGAAAGGTGGTCTGTTTCTTTCTTTATTTTCCCCCTTAACTTGTTCCAAAGGCTCAACATTTGTCCTCATCCCAGTGGAACTTTCTCCCCTGCAAAACGTCACCCCATCTTCAACTCAGAGCTGAATGGTCCCCACCTGTTCTATCCTACAGCTCAATCGATGTGCCAGAAATTGCACAAGGGCAAGCAGAGCTTGGCCAGCTGCCCCTTGGCTCTGAGCCCATGGAGGTGGGCATCTTCTGTCCCTGAAGGCTGTGCCCTTATGGGCAAGCACAAAAAGGAGGCTGCAAAACCTCGTGTCTTGGAAAGGAAACGTCGCTCCCTGGATGCTAACAGGAGGCTGTGGGCATCGCAGGAGTCCTAACGACAGACAGTCAAGCAGACAGACACAAGCACAGACTGGGCAACTATTGAGGACCTGACAGAAACTGGGACTCCAAGACAAGAGGCAGTATGGGACAGCAAAGGTAGGAAGTGGGGAGAGCAGCTGTGGTTGGCCCTTGGCTGGCTTTGGGGCTCATAAATAACAGAACTGGTCCTGGGCATAGGAAGCAACCAAAAGGTGAGGTGGAGAAGCCAGGGTTGGGAGGAGAAAAGCTGGGGGGTCATGGTGCCCTTTTCCCTTCTCTGACATTGCAACCAAACAATAGGAGGCCATTGACAGAGTCAAGGAACCCACAGGAAAAAAAAAAAAAAACAACAGTCCTGCTACCGCTCAGCATCCTTTAGTTCTGGACATTTTCCCATATAAACACAAGCCTGCTCACCACGAAAGGAGGAACGAAGGAGCAATGGCAGCTGCAGGGCCACCACCTTTGGTCCTCAGCTCCTCCCCTGGCTCACAACACAGCTCCCAGCCCAGCACATCCCTGCCCACGAGCATCGCTCCCAGCTGCTCCACGGGACACGAAGCTCTCTGGGTATGGAGTGGGGTTCAGACACATCATAGCAACACTGAAACCCACACCTAAGCTGTGCCCAGCAGACACCAAACCAAAAAACCCCACAGGAGCATCCATTGCTTTGACTTCAGCCCTTCCTGTCGCATCTGCTTTGGGAGGTGAGTTTGGCTTCAGGCTGAGCCCAGCTTGCTGCAGTGCTCCATATAGCACATGGGTCAGGGCACAAGCCAGGTGTAACACCTCTCAGCCCCATCCACTTCTCCACCCTCTCTAACAGCAGCAAGGAGTAACAGCACCAGCCCCATCGCATGGGCTGATCCCTCACAGAGCTGCTGCCCTGCTAGGAAGATTTCTCAGCTTGCTTAAGGCAGGTTTCAGTGTGCAGCAACACGAAGAACGAATCCATCACGCCTTCCTTCCCCCACAGCAATGCCCAAAAACCAAAGCAAAGGGATGCTGCCCTCCCATCTAGCTGGCAGCAGCCCCTCTCCAAACCTGCTACCATTCTAGCAACAGAAGTAACAAAGAAGAGCAAAACCGAACCAAAGGACCAAAGAAACGGGGGACTTCTAGCACTCGAATGAGAAACTGCATCTTCTTCATGTTCTCCCACCTCCATACCCTCAGCCAACATTCCCTGCAGGGCAGCTGGATGTGCAGGACAGCTGTGAATGCCAAGAAAAGGGGGGGAGGGGGTTGAAAGTATAATGCAAATCTCTTTTCTCGTTTTGTTGTTGTTTTTTTTTTTTTCTTGTTGTTTTTGTCTGTTTTTGGTGTTTGTTTGTTTGGTTTTTTTTTTTTTTTTTACATATGTACACAAGTCTGACAATAAAACGTGGAACACAGTGCAATGTCTTGGCTGCGTAGCATCCAGGACTGGCTTAGTTGTGCATCATGGTGTGCCACGGGGGACACACGGGATGGAGAAGTAAAATGATGTCCTCGCTGGCTTCCAGAGAGGTGTAAAAGTAGGAGCTGTTCCCCTGGAAGAAGAGCAAAGTCCTCTTTAAAACCTCACTGCAGTCTCTGGAGGTGAAGGCGTTCCTCAGAGGTGCCGTGGGCTGGGATGCCCGTTATGGTACAGCTTCTGTTTGATGTGCACCATGTTCCCAGTCGCCTCCTCGTACTGCCTGTGGTGACGTTTTCTGAACTCCTTTAAGTTACAAAACTTTGGAATCCAAGACCAGGAATTGTCTGGAAGGCAGAAAGGAGAAGGGAGATATTACAGAGATGCTGAGACCTGCGCTCTCCTGTTTCACTTGGAAGGACCCCGCTCCAGAGGGGACACTGGGAGCTCAGCCAGGTGGCTCCTGGACGTCCCCAAGGATGGAGGCTGCACAGCTTCCCCAGGCAGCCAGTATTACAACACCCTCACCTAAAGAAGCAGCTCCATTCCTGGAGTGCAGCACAGAAAGCCAGCGTGCCAAGGCCAAGCAATCTCTACCTGAGCTGCAAACCGGGGGTGCTGCGAAACCCAAATTTCAGGCCAACTTTCATCAGTACTCTGCCCACGTGTGCAGACACACAGCCAGCACCCAGAGCAGAGCCCTCAGCTCCATGCACAGACGTGGCCACGGCCAACATGGAGCCACCAGAGCCCACCCAAGGATGTGCTGAGGGCTGCACTTACCGTACCGCCGGCTGGTTCTCCAGGCTCGCACAGCGTAGTGGAGAACCCCATCCATCCACACCAGAAACCAGCTGATACAAAAACCCAGCAACAGTCCCAGCATCAGATCGATCTCTTGCTTGGTTACATTGTCAGTCACAAAGTAGTTCTCTGAGGAATCCACCACGGACTGATCCCCGTCATACGGAATGACGTAATGGACGTGGTGCCTGTTGTGGGGAACAGAAATGGGGAGAAGCATCAGTGGAGTCTTCAGGGTGTGTTTTCCACCAGCATCTGCTTCCATGGCCAGGGGCTCTGAAGCCCTGCTGACATCGCTGGGCTCAAAAACAGAAAGGCAAAGAGCAAAGCACAGCACCCTGCAGCCCAGAGGTCATATTGCATTGCTGACACAGGCTGCCCGTGCCTGAACTCATCATCTGTAATGCCATAAACAACACTGGGGGCTGCAGAGGTCGCTCCCTGAGTCCAGAGGTCAGCCATGCCTCTGAGGTTGCATATTTGGGTTGCATATGCAGGTTGATGGAGAATCACGCCTGAGAAATGTGCAAATAGTGTCACAAGTGAAGTCCTGCTCGCAGGATCCTAGTGAAAACAGCCTTTGTCTTCACGAGGGCCAAACAGAAACCCACGTGGGCTCAGTGAGTCCCAAAAAGGGCAAAGCTTTGGAGAGCTGTAGGCATTTTTCTGCTTTGGTTTGGCTTAGCAGGACAGAGTAACGCCTCTGGGATGGGGTGGGGAAGAGGAGCAGCCCCCCAAAAGCCTTCTGGTGGCAGCTGAAGCCCTTGGGGACATGGCAGGAGCAATTTAGAGGCATCAGCACATCAGTATGGAGAGTTATTAATAGAGTGCAGAGGTCCTGGGTCCCCACCGCAGCCCGAGGGAGCTGGAAATTGGAACGTGGCCTGGATGGCTCTGGGAGCCACATCTAGGGAGGGAAGGCATCACCTCTGAGCCTCCATGCCAGAGGCCAAGCCTTGTGCCCAGAAACACAGCCACTGTGTTTCTGTGCAGCCTTTGGTGGTACCAAGCAGCAAAGAACTTGTGAAATCCTGTCGGTGAGCACCAACAACTGCACCCCTGAAGCAAGGCAGGGACTGCATTCACTGCTTTGTCCCCAGCAAGGCAGCACCAGCTCAGGTGAGACAGTGGCACACGGGCTCAAGCACTCCCACCCCTTCCCAGCCCTTGTGATGGGGGCAGATCTTCCCCAGCCCTGAGCAAGCCATGCATGAAGCCCTGAGTGCAGCTGTGATGGAGCAGAGCCGTGGCCAGCATGCCTGGGATGCTCCCTATGGAGCTGCCCAAAGCGCTAATGTCCCTTCCAGTGACCTTGTGAGCCTGCTGGCTGCTGCAGCCCAAGCACAGCACCGGAGCCCTTCAAAAAGCACTGCTGTTTAGGATTTGGGAGAACAAAGCTCATCCTGTGCTGCTGGACAGCCCCGGGATGGGCACTGAGGTGCATCAATCCTAGGAGTTGCAGGAGGCACAGAGCCTCTGTTCTGCATCTCTGCCTGACCTTGCAGCCTCTCCCCAAACATGCCAAGCAGCTCAGCTCCTGGCAGAGCCATGGTCAGCAAAGCTGGGCTGCAGCAACAGGGATGGTTCCATTGCAATGGTGAAAATGTCTTCCTGGGACCTTCCATGCTATAGCAGCTGCTGGGAGCCCAGGGAAGGCCTGGTGGTCTCACAAACAGTGAGCATCCTCAGCCTCCCAGTGTGTTCACAGAGGGTATGGAGACATGGAGGATTAAGGATTTGTTCAGAGTGTTAAAAAAGGAAGAAACAGAGCAAAAATGATGGGTTTTGGTGCTTGGCTTTTGCCACAGCATCTTTGCTTGGGAGGGACAAACTCACCCAAGGTCACCCAGAAGGTCGGTGCCAAGGAGAAGACCACAACCAGAGCTTCTGAGCTCCTCACCCTGTCCCAGGCAGGGAACTCCTGAGCCCCTGGGCTGTTTTGATGGGTCTGTGTTCCATGCAGGTGTCATCTGCTCTCCCCCAGCTCACCCAGCCGCCACGGACGCCCTTTGGTGATTTTCCTTTGCATGACATCACCCAGCTCCTGATCTGCTGCCAGCCTGCTGCTTCCAGAGAGGACCCTTTCCTGGCTGGGACAGAGGCACCCGGAGTGGGGCAGTGCTTTGTTTTGCAGCCCTGCACAGCCCTGAGGCTCCTGCAGCAGGGACAGCCCAAGGAGGGGGACCAGAGGGGCTGTGAACAGCCTGATAACTTCCCACACTGGAGCTGAAAGGTGCCAGGGATCCAATCCAGCAGCAACATTCCTGCACTGCCATCAGCAGGAGCTCTCAGATGTAGCTCTCAGCTCTCCAGCAAGAAGGCAGATGCTGAGAGAGGAGCAGCCTCCATCTCCAGGTGCCAGGGCCAGCCCTGCTGCTCCACTGATGCTGTCCCTCCATCCACCATCATCACACCAGCTTCCTTCCCACCCAGCTGGCAGGACTCTGCCCTCTGCTCCCCCACCAAACAGCCATCAGTGCAATCCAGATACGGCCACCTGTCCCAGAAGAGAAAGGCCATGAAGCAGCTGTGGCAGTCACTGAATGCTTGGCACAGTGCAACCTCTCTCTGACCTCCTGTGGCCACAGCTCCCCTCTGACATAACAAACCTAAAAAGCACCCAGCATGACTACATTACCCTCATCCCAGTGCGTTGCTACCTTGCTTCTGCCATCAAGTGCCAAGAGCTTCAGTCTGAAGCAGCCCTGCATAGCCAGGGTTTAGCAGCCCCTAGCAATGGGCTGCTTTGTTTCCCCAGAATTCTCAACACTAACAACTCTCCTTACAGCCAGTGCTCAGAAACATGGAAACCAGAGCAGAGTTGTCAGCTGCAGGAGACAAGAGCTCCATGGGGCAAGTGTTGGCAGAAGGTGTTTTAGGAGACAGCAGGCAGAGCATGCTCCTTTCACCTGTCCTGGGACCTCCGTGCAAGGCATGGGGCATCACAGAGATGCACAGGGGATGGCACATCCCTGCCCCACCAGCCATGCAACCATGAGACACCAGGACAGGGCAGCCAGGAGCTGAAGCCTGGGCTCTTCCCTCAGGTCTTGCATGCTGAACTGCAGACAGTTCCTCTCTCCAAGGGCTCCCTTTTGTTACCAGCACAGTCAGAGCCCTTTGCCAGGACCTGGTGCCACTTTTCATAGCTCCAGGATATGCCCCCGCCAGGGCCACGGCTGTGTGCACAGGTCTGAGCCCAGAAAGCAGCTGCAAAGAGGATGAGTCACGTTTCATCATCCACCCCTTGAACCAGAGGGAGCACAGGGCACAAAACCCCTCACTCAGGAGTGAAGGCAGCTTTGTGTTTTGTTGGCAAGATCCATCTCCTGCACGTACCTAAGGCAACCAGTGAACTTCCACCTTTCACACCCTGTCATTTTGACAGTTTGCAAGCTGTGTTGTACACTTTCTAAGAAATGACCTGACTCCATCTGGGGACAGAGCCATGGCCCATTCATCTGAAGCCCTGCCCCCTCCTTGGGCTTGGGCAGAAGGAACGCAATCTCTGACACCAGCAGGACCTGGCAGCGTTAAAGTACATTACCAACAGCTGATTTTCACCACCACTGAATACAAACACGGCAAGCAAAAAGAAAAACAGGTCGAAGAGGCAGAGGACAGTTCTTAAACGAGCAAAAAACATCAAGAAGTCTCCAAAAAATTACCCAAAAGAAAGGCAATCCCTGACAAATAGAATCAAAGGCGCTGTAGATGTTGCTTCCCAACTGGCAGTAGTGTAGAAGTGCCCAAAGAGCCAGGGTGTGGGGTCTGCTCTCAGATCGCTCTGGCCTGGCTCTGCTTGGCCTTGGAGGTTCCTCCGTGCTGTTCTGCTACAGGAACCATAGGTCAAAGCAGGGTGGATTGGATGAGCAGTGGCTTTGGTTAAGGTTTGCACACCCCAGGGTGTGAAGGTTTGCTCAGCTCCCATCCAGGGCCACCAGAGGAAAGCAGTGGTTGGGAGGATGGAGGAAGTGGCCGGGGGTGGCAGTGGCCAGGGCTGCAGGACAGGGATCATGGAGAAAACCAAAATTCACCTCCACAGCCAAAGCTCAATTCCTCAGCATCACCCATGGAAAAAGGAGCTGCATTTGGGGGAACCGAGCGCTGCCCAACAGCCATGGCAGGAAACTGTGCAGCCCTCAACTTGCAAGCAGCAAAGACATCACCCAACGTCCCCCGACACCAGGCCTGCGCTCTGTGCAGCACCATGATGGCTCAGGAGAAAAGCCACTGAGAATTGGAAGCTGACTGACGATCACAGAGCCTCAAAGTGACACCGTCCTCAGCAGCAGCACTCCATCCTGGGCGCAGAGCTGCCCGGACCCCAACCCCTTTCATCCTCACCAGCATCCAGCCTACAAACCACAACCCCCCCCCCCTCCAGGGAAAGCACACAGCCCAATGACTGCGAAGGCAAAACACGGAGTGTTGGAATTCAATCCAAGTTCCTCTCCTCCCCAGGGCTGCCGGATGCCTGCACACACGCATGCACACAAAGGAAAATGGACTTCCAGGCCCACGGCAAACTCTTCTTGCAGAAAAACAAACCGACCCTTCCCCCTCCCCCCCCCCCCCCCCGTGTTGATGCTGAGACATGGCCAGAATGCAGACAGGGCTTCCTCCAGCCAGGTGGGGTGGAAGGGGCCGGGTCAGGTGAGCCCGACGTCGCAGGTTAACTCACCTGCCACAGTTGCAGTGACAAACTCGGTCTTCCCCTCTCAGATGCGGTAGGATGTAATTGTGAAATCTGTCCAGCAACGCATTCATGTCCATCAAGCAAGCTATTGCCTGTAAGAGCCCATAACCAAGGCATCTGGTCAACTCTGGATGATGGAATAAAACATTGACTCCAGTTTGATTGCCAAAGACTGAAGCGGTCATATAGAAAAGAATCGCTGGTGTTCCCCGGGGCACACGCACCGTGCACACACACACACCGAGCACACAGGGACGCGCGGGGCCGGGGAAGAGAAAACGGGGGGGTTGGGGAGAGAGGGAGGGGGGGGGGGGGGGGGGAATGGAGGGGAGGGAAATAAGCAAAATCTCTTACCATAACGATAGAGGCGCCCAGGATCATGAAAATCATGGTGTTTGCATTCATGGACATCAACGGGGAATCGGTAGCGATCGGCTCCGGCCGCCCCCAGCCCGCGATCTGCGAGCGGCGGCCGCGCTATTGCGCAGCGCGGAGCCCGGAGCGCATCGCGCTGCGCTGCGGCGGGGGGCGGTGGGGCGGCGGGGCGCCCCCCGCGCTCACACCCGCACTGCCCCGTGCCGGGCGCCTCGGGCTGCCCGCTGGGGGAGGGTTATGTTGTTATTTTATAGATAGATATTATTATTATTATTATTATTTTTTTTTCCTAAGACGAAGGTGACAGGTAAGGATAAAAATTATATATATATATATATGTGTGTGTGTATATATATATATATATATTAAAAATGGGATGAATACTCTAAAAAATGCGTTCCCCCCAAGGCTGTCGGCCGATGGAGGTGCGCCACGGCGGCTCCGGGAGCGGGCACACGGCACAGCCCCGCATGCAGCAACTGGAGAGAGAGCCAGCCGAGGCCGGGGGGAGGCTGGGGGAGGAGGAGGCAAGCCGCAAAAATCACCCAGTCCGGGGGAGCCTCATTGCATCCTCTCTCCCGACCCTCCCCAAAATCAACCTCTCCCGATCGGCGCAAAAAAAAAAAAAAA